AAAGCTCGAGTGCGACCTTGAACTCAAGTTCCTTGATCTTCTCTCTGACGAGCTCTCTAATTCGAGGCCGGTGCTCAATTGTGGCAGGCGCGGCAGCTTTTGGCATTGCCGGCACGGAAAACTTTTGGGAAGTGGCTGGAATAATTTCCCAAACATTGCCTACGAGCTTTGCAGTTGCAGGAGGGCATTGAGTTGCCTCAAGCCGGGCCGGTGAAGACTTCTTCTTTTTGCCCTTGCTGCCAGATGACGATGCTGGCTTTTCCTCCTGCTCCTTGGCTGCTTTCTTTGCTTCTTCCTCGATGATCAACTTCCTATCTTGGGGTCCTAACGTCCTAACATCTTCCACAGTTCTGAGTCGATCCCCTCCGGACGCTTTGAACCTTTGTAGTTACGTACAATCCGGTGACCATCCCAATGATGTCCATCTGGAATAATTTCACCTTTGGGGGTCAATTTGAGATCTGGAAATACGGGCGCTTCGGGTGCATCAGGCTCGACATCGCTGTCGGCTGGCAGAGGCGTTCCTGGCTCGTATTCGTACTCATCTTGTGGCGGATGCAAACTGGACTCAAGTGGCACAGCTTTGGGTGTCTGCGGAATGACCTGATCCTCAAGGCGATCGGCTTTGGGTGCTTTCGAGTCAATCAGAGCTTTCAAAGGAAAGATGAAACCCTCGGATGGCAATTCCAACCTCTTTGTTCTTTGGATTGTCAGTGCACCCCAGTTGACATGATAATCTGCGGCTTCCAACTTGGCAACTAAGTATTCACCCTTCCAATCATGACCTGGTTGGATGTAATACCCAAGGAAAATTCCTTCATTTGCTGTTGGGGAGAGTTTACCTGATGTGTTATCCAACCTCTTGGGGTTATTCCAGAACAACACTTTGGCACCAAAAGGAATGTGCATAGCAGGGAACTCTTCACCAAACCTGAGTTGCCACGGGGATTCACTGCCGTCAAGCTGGGGGCTTGCATTGATCGCGGTCGCGTGATGCTGCATGGCCAATGGCCACATCTTCAAGGGAAGTCCTGATTGCAGCAAGTTGCTCCGGGCACCTTCCAACATCTGACGAACTTCGCGCTCAGCAAAAGACTTTGATGAATCTACGTATTCAATGGAAGTTTGGTGTCTGTAACCCAAATCCTTGATGGCCCTGATCAATTCTGGGGAATTGTCAGTGTACACAACTTGAACATCGTCCTTTGATCCAATAAAGTGATTCAAACCATCAACACCGCTTTGTGAGTCCTTGGACTGGCTAGGGTAGACATACCGATATTGGGTGTGCAGATCTTTCAATACCAATGCAACTTGCTCCCCCCTGAAACCCTCTTCTACATTTTTCTTGATGATGACATGATCCCCAATGATGTGGTCACCAAACACTTCAGTTTCGATTCTCTTCTGACCACCTTTCTTTCGTGCCTGAGGTGCCATCATCCTTGCTCGTTGGCAGGTTCTGCAAAAGGGGTTCTTGGGGAAATGAGTGTACTGATGTTGGGTACTTGCAGCTTCAGCCAGCAAATCCTCAGTCTTGCGGCTTCGAATGTACTCCTGCTGAGCGTCATCCTCCACCAGCTCGTCCAATTGCTCTTCATCCTGGGCTTCGTCCCGCTTGGCTTTCGAGCTCGACCGTGAGGTCGGCATTGCAAACAACTTTCTGAGGTGCTTATCCTTTTGAAATTGATCTTTGGGATAAACCTTGCAACTATCATCCAAGACTGGGACATGACCTTCGATCTTGAGCTGGACGACCTTGTCATCTGGACGGGCTAGGATTGGTTTGCCATTGGCAGGCCATACGAAACTGTAACCCTGATCTACGCATCTTGTTCCTACGGAGAGCACAGCTGGGGTATGATCAAGTACATACGGATGCACAGGATCTGGCAATGCGGACAACTTGACATCAGCAACCTCATTGGCCTCGGTCGAACCATTGGCTGCGACTAAGGAAATCGGATGCTCGGCTGCACGGCAGTTCTTGGCGCTAACGTCCCTCAACATACCCTTGGACACAAGATCGGATTCACTACCTGAGTCGACAAGCCAACTAACGCCGGCCTTTGGCGCAGCTGTGGCAATTGACGGGAAACGACCAATGTCTCTAAGAGCTTTGGGACCGCTGATGAACCTGCACTCTTTGCATGTGATGTCACGTGTGTCCTCATTCCAACAACAAAACCCACAACTAGGCGCAACATCTGAATCATGAAGTTTCACAGTTTCTTGAAGCTGTCTTGCACGAACCTGAGCCTCATGTTGTTCAACCTTGGATGAAACTGGAACATCTTCAGCTGTCTTGTACACCTTAGTGAACTCTCTTGGACGGTGCTTGACTGGGACTTGACGACCAACTGCTTTCACCTCGATCACATGTGGGGCCTTTCGGAATCTAAGACGCTTCATGCTGACACTTGACTCATCAGAGCACGAAGTTGCCTTCGGCTGTTTTCGGACGATACATGCAAACTTCTGGATCAGGCATGGAGCGGCTGTTGAATCCTTGCTCTTCTTTTTGGGAGCGGGTGAATTGGCCCTTTTGGTGTCTTTGGTGGCGGCAGCGGCTTTGTCATCATGCTTATAAAAACATTTGTCACCGCGTCTGCACTTTCCCTGGGCATGATAGATACATGGGGTTTTGGCCATCTCTTCCTTGGACATCTTCTTCCCCTTATCATCTTTATTGCCCCTTGATGGTGAACGTGTTTTGGTTCTTCTGGGTGATTGAGTTCGAGATTTGTCATCTTTGACATGCTTGAATGGACACTTCTTCCCCTTATCACAGGTACCCTTTTGGAACTTATAGCAAATTTTGTCACCTTTGCCACCTCGTTCCTGCGATCTACCACGACTTGGAGAACCCTTTCGGCCACCGCGACCATCGCCTTTGGCAGGTGCGGCCTTTGTGTCCTTGATCCCAGCCTTGTTCTTCTCCGCAATGCGGTTCCTGTTCTCCCTCAATCGTTCACGATCGATCAAGTTCTTCATGGATTGGTGAAGGAAACTATAAGACTTTTCATGGGATTTCTCATGTGCACGGTCAAACATCTCGATGTCATATTTCAGCAACTGACTTGGTCGGATCTGCCTCAACAAGATGTCCCTTAACACAGCATCATCGGGGGTGACAGCCATGCCAGCTAGGGTAGCATCCCATTTGTTGATAAATCTTCGGAGATCCTGGACAGTATCGCCTACTTTGACAACACCCAAAAGATCTTCTACTCTGTAAAGGCTACCTGCTTCTTCTGATGTCTTGAAGTAGTCCTCAAACATGAGCAGAACATACCTTCCCCTGACCTGGATGCCTTTTCGGGATTGCTGCTCTTTGAAATTCAAGATCCTAGTTGCGAGGTCCCCTCCGGCTGAGCGTGTGAGCGCTGCTGATAATTTTGTATCCAGCGTGAGGAACTTTCCAGGATCTTGGAGTTTCTTCTCCAACTGCTCTCTGGTGCACTCTTGATCGTACACCTCGTTGAGCCAGAGCCATGCCTCATCCGGGCGATCTGAACAGCTTTTCACTTCATCCCTGACATGATTCTTCCAAGTCCTATACGACTCCGGAGCGGGCATGTTGTTCAGCTTGATGATTTCGGCCTCCTTAGTTTTTGGCTTATCCTTTTCTTCCCTTTGGGTTAAGGCTTTCACCAATTCAATAAGATCTGAGGGACCCATCACTTGCTGTTGCTTGGTTACGCTCTTAGGGGAGTCGTTTGGGGGAGTTTTGATAGCTTCAGTGGGAGTGAAAAACCCTGACTGCGTTGGCAATTGGGGCTGGTCGTTGCCGACAGCCGGCTTTTGCTTGGGACTGCCACCTTTGAGCAGCTCATCCAACTTGGCCTTTGCTTCTTGTGCCAACACTGCAGGCGTTTTCAACTCATGAATCGGCTCATCACTGCCTTTGGCAGCCTGTGCATCGGATGCTTTGGGAGTGGCAATATTGAAGTGGGGCACGCTAGTGGTAGCGGCCGGCTCGGCGTTCTGGACGGATGCTTTCGGAACGGAGGCATGCTGCGCTTTGGCAACATGCTTTAACTGCTCCTGAAGGTCATCGATTTGGTCCTGAAGGCTAAGGTTCTGAGCCGCTGCCTCATTGATCTTGTCGGCCATCTCCTTCTTGTAGTTCTCGAACTCGGTCCTCAAACTGATAAACCTGGCCTGATCAATTGCAGCCTGATCTTCATATTGCTTCTTTGTGGCAGCTATGGCATTCTTTGCATGTTCAACTGTCTGTGCATAGGAAGCTTCGAACTCACTAGTGATACGTTGCCTTTCCTCTGCAATTTTCTGATCATGCTTTGTGTTTGCCTCTGCCTTAACATCCTCTATTCTTTTGTCATGCGATGCCTGAGCCTGATTCAACCTGACCTCCAACTCATCGCCTCGTTTCCTCTCCTCGTTGACGGCACTAATGGCCTTACCTTCAACCTCCTGCAGCCTTTGCTCATACTCCTGCTCTTGCATTACGAGTCTACTTGACCATTCGTTTCGAATTGAGTCAACTACTCCATGCATTATCTGAAGGTGCCTCTGTTCAGCTTCCCTCATGACTTGCAGGGTATTCCCACTAGTGATCTGGGACAGGTTGTTTTGTATGAAGGTAAAGTACGCTACAACGGGTTGGAACATTGTCTCGTCATCCATCGGCTCGGGGTTGCCCCCGGCCACATTGGGCACAGCGATAGCCGATGGACCTGACCCTGGAACGGCGAGAGGATGGTCAATTGGGGTCCCCATAGCAAAGTAGTGAGACTACGGCTGATAACCTGTATTTTACCAGGTCAACCGGAAATGGGGATAAATACAACAAACCGTTAAGCGGTCAGCACTGTTTTGAACCAACGCTTCAGAGTATATCGATGACATATATTATACATGGTATTACTGCAGGAGTTTTTACAGAAAATGAATGAAAATGATAGAAAGCAAAGGCATGCTTTTAGCACCAATCGATCAGACCTGAAAGAACAGAAGGTCCAACTGCGCCTAGAAACGGTGTTGGGAAAGAGGAGACCGCTGATGGTGATAGTATGCTGTGGTTTTGCCATGAACTTGTACTTCTGAACGAAGCTGGCCTGTCGGGCAGGGTGGTCAGAAGGGTCAGCAGGGTGGTGAACCCTCCCAGCAGCCCCAGCAGCCAAGCTACAATTGGAGACTCAGGAAATCGATTGTCGACATCATAGGAATCCTGGTCCGGGGGAACATGGGGAACGAGAACTGATCCGCCGCCGCCACTATGGGGCCTGCCATGGGACCCAAAAACTGCTGCCGCCCTGAACCTTTCCACTCATGCACAGGACATGCATTTGACTTGTCATTTCACTGGTTACCCACTCAGATTTTTGTGGCATGAACCCACTTGCTCTTGGCTCTTCTCATCCCCCCGTCCTCGATGAGTTTGCAGTTGGTTCCTGTCTGGGTGTGCTGGCCCGCCAGATAGAACTCCAGCGCCACACAGGCGTCACGGTTCAAACACTGTTGCTCACAAGACTCCTGATCCGCCACATTCAATCGCACCAGGACGCTGGCATTCAACTCCTGCGAGGAAAATTCGTCGCCAATGAGGGCCAACCTGAGGTGAGGCAGGCTTTGTGGCCCGCGCTGCCCACGCGGCCCACGCGAAATGGCAATGTTTCTCACAAGCAAAGGTTATGCCCACGCGCAATCGAATCAATAGATCTCAGCCAAGGAGCTGCCAAATATCCCCACTGACTCCGGTGATGCCAGTACCCCATTTCTTCAGTTCATTGTGCGTTGGTACCCGCAACTCATACCGGGCATCGATGACACCACCTGCCATGGAGAACAAAAGGATGGGCCTATGCGTATGCAATGAGAACCAGATCTGAACAACAACAACAACAACAACAACAACAACAACAACAACCTGATAATAATAATAATAATCATCGTCATCGTCGTCGTCATCATCATCATCATCATCATCGATGTCATTGTTGTCATCGTTGTCATTGTTGTCAACGTTGTCATCGTTGTCATCGTTGTCATCGTTGTAATCTTTGTCATCGTTGTCATCGTTGTCATCTTCATCATCGCCATCATCATAGCTATAATCATGATATGATAGCTATAGTCATGATGGCTATAATTATGATTATGGGGACAATAGTGACACGCTTGACAATGTAGTAATGGTCATCAGTAAGAACAACAGCAACAACCGCAACAACTTTCAATCATGCAAGCTGGCCACTTTTCCTGAGTTCTACATCTATGCCTCGATATGCCTCGATCCAACGACCAAATCCCTTCTGCCAAGTCACAATACACATTTGCCTTCCGTTCAACGCTGAAAATGAGTTTCGTCACAGAAGTCGAAATCCTCAGCATCACCGCATCTTACCCACCAAACCCATGGCTTTTAATGGCCATCAAATTTGGGCCCGGGCTCATTTCCCATCTTGAAAGAACCCCAAAAGGGTTTGTCTGAAAATAGACTACCCGGCTACCCCGGCTACTCCAGCGTCGACTCATCATTTTCTCTGTAAAAAAAAGTGTGCACCGGGAATACCCCATTAATTTCTAGGCAACCACACTTCGCCACACTTCGCCAAGTATCTCTAAGGCGGTGATGTTCAGCAGTGGCGCGCTCTCGCTCTCCATGGTCCTCTCCCTCGCTGGAAGGTTCGTGGGTACATCGTAGCCCGGCACGTGGTAGCGGCAGTTCAGCTGCCTGCGACCGCTAAAAGGGGGGGAAAAAAAACGGTGATGCCAAATAGTGACCCAGCGGTTGATTTTCGGGAATCCCATACTCGGAGGCGCAGTTAGGGTTGTATGGTAGATAAGCCCGATAACTACGGTCGTATATCTACTTAGAACTGGAACTGCACCCCCCAGTATAAGTGGATCTATGGTACATATCTCGTTATGATAATTAATGGGGTAATCACAGGTTTGTATAATGGGAATAAAATGGATTATCAGACAGGCTAGTGGCTGATACATGATGGGCTAGTGAGGGATCATTTTTCATGGTGGAAAAAAACCAGTCATTTTAGGGCAAGGATCCCACCATCCAAGGGTAATCCCCTAAAATTCATGGTCCCTCCTGACACCAATGATATCCAATGATAAACTAACATAGCTATTGAAAATTGCCATTTATAGTGGATTTTCCCATTGAAAATGGTGATTTTCCATAGCTATGTTAGTTTACCGGAGGGTATCCAATGATCTTGACCCAATAGGGCTTGGACCTGGGCCCTGAGATGTTCAGCGGATAGTCCAAAGGGGAAGGGCCGATCCACCGCGCATTCACCCGCTCCCAAACCAGCATGGGATCGCGCCAGGGACAGCAATCCTCCGGCTGTTCATAGGCTTGCGGCCATGCGGAGTCGTTGAATTCCTGAGCCAAGGGGCTTTTTGGAGAGGTCCGGAAGACTCTGTTTTCTTTAGTGGAAGTTTGAATGTGTGCCGGCACCATCTTCCTGCCTCAGAACAGGATGTTGTAGGACTTTGTTTAGCCAAACCACACTACCAAGTGGCAACGGCCGTACGTTAAATCACAAAATCTTCTCAAAATCATCCTGGTTGCCCTGTAGAAGAAGGGCGTTCTCTCTTCATTGAGGGCCTTTTCCTGTGTACTGCACTTGAAATCGCCGGAGGACATCCTTGGCCGATGGCAAGCTGGCTGCCAACGTGGCTGGTGGTTACTTTCCATGAAAGGATGGTGAATCACAAGAAAATGAAGGGGAGTTTGAGCCAGTCCCCAAATACATCAAGTTGTTTTTGGGCCAGCGTTTGACAGGTCACAAACTCCTGGCAGTCCTGGCAGCCACTTGAACTCTGTGCGTTGATCTCTTTTTTTGCATGGCTGAAGTGTCCAGGGTCTCAAAAATTGAGGCATCATGCTTACACAACCACATCATCCCACATCCACAAAATGTCGTCACATCTTGTCACCTTTTGTTGCCCCACCCAGCTGTCAAGCATCAATCCATTGCGCGAAGCCATGATGAGCCCCAGGGGTGCAGGATACTGGGAGATCTGCCCCAGGGCATTGGTCACATTCACCACTTCCTGAGTCTAAATCTTCAGATTCCACATGAAAATTTTGGATTTTTTCCCGGGAAAACGGAAAAAACAACATCCAGTTGGTAGTGGTTGGTTGCAACCACCAGACCTGGCATGTCAACCCATAGGGACATTCAACCAAAAAAAGAAATGTTATGTCTATTTATTTAGTGAAAAATCCGTAAAAGATTCCACAGTTCTGGTATGCTTCATAACACCCTCCGGTAATTCCACATAGCTGCGGCAAATGGCCCATTGATCGATGATTTTCCATAGCTCTGTGGTTACCGTTACCAGTGGAGAAAAAACTGACTCTGCAAATCCAGGGAGTTCCGGGCGATTGGTGACGAGGCGAAAGGCCAAGACATCCCCTTGCTCGACCCCAAGTGGAAAGACCAGGACCTGCAGCCAATGATAGCCAATGGTCTCAGCTGGGTCCTCCTATGGTCCTATGGTCATTGAAGGTGTGACCCAAAAGCGTCATCCCAACCTTTTCCCCACCAAAAGTCAACAACTCTCCATGCTCATTTTTCCGGGATTTCTGCCCCATTCTTCGTGGAAAATGCCAAAAAAATGTTTGGTACATCTCAAGGGCGGTTGCTGGAAAAACCACCTGCCTTGGCTGGAGTATCACTGGCCACCACGCGCCGCACTCCATTCCTGGGGAACCGTTAAGCAACTACTGCAATGAAAAACTTGGTAAGCGGTTTGATTGGGTACATGACAGTCCTCTTGGCGTGAACTATATATCTTTCATATGCATGTCCTGTTATCGGATTAGTATCTTTAAGCCACTCAAATGGTATGGCTGCCCAAGAAAATTCTTGCAGCTTCACATAATGAGTCAGTTGGATGGTTGAGCGGGTCACACTGGGGCTTATATAGTATATAATCATATATCATTGTGTATCATCATATAATGCCATATGATATATCATACAAAATGACATATAATATATAATATAATATATCATCATATCGATTTGTTTTAATATATATATATATTGGTACATCATCATGCGTGAAATTGCCTAAAATCTATAAAGGCTCAATGGGCCATGAAGCTTTGACCCATCTGCTTCCCGAGGCGCAGGGGGATGAGGCTGGCGGAGATGTCAGGCGCAACAAAGGCCCTAGGCGGGTGACGAATTGGATGAAGGAAAGCGTGGTAACCCCCAAAAAAGATGCCGAAAAGTAACATCCGAATCGAAAAGTGATAAATCACAGTTCTACCATGTTCTACCTGTCTGGGGGTTGCTATCTGTATACAGGAACATTGAATACCCACCAGCGTTCAATGGTAAAAACTGTGATTGCCGGTCATTTTCATTCTTCGGGCAACCCAAGTTACATCCAATTGGAATCATGCATTTTTTTAATCATGCCCCATGCCCCACTCCAATCCGAGAAGGATGTAACGAAAGCCAGAATCTCCTTTATATTTACCAGGTCAGTAAAGCATATCTGACAAAAACCAGGCCTAAGATTCCCAGGTATATCAATATACCTCCGACTCTCACAAGCGCCTCTCGTCCGCATCACCTCTAGGTCTCATCTCCTACAAGCCTTGTTTAGACTCAGTTTAGACTCCAAGAGCCAGACTCCGATCTCTATTTTGTCTCTGTTTCTAACTGGCCTCTACATCTCAATCATCTCATCTCCGACAAGCCTTGTTAACGACCCCCAAGAGCCGGACCAAGGGGGAATCAATACCCCACCGTCACTGAATTGCGACACGGTACATCACCCTCAAAACGTACCCATTTGCCCATATTTTGCACGACCTGCCCCCAGACCCCTTAGACTCACTTCGTTCGTAGTAGTAACTTCAGCCTAGCCTGCCGCCTGGCTTTCGCAAAAAAACATTTGTCATTGGATTTACCACATTTAGGTAACCCCAAAGAATGCCTAATACCATCCATTTCTGCCAAAAAGTGACATGGATATTGTTGGGTCTACTTTCCTTTCTTGTTATTTCTTTATTTCTTTCGTTAGTTCGTTCTTTCCTTCTTGCTTCCTTTCCGTCTGTCTTTCATTCTTTCGATGTTTGCGCTACAACAATGAGTCCCGTGCAGGACCCGCCTTGCCCATGCTTCCAGTTCATCATACATTTACAACTGAAGCAGCCTCATGGTTTTAAGCGCCAGCTTGCAAACAAAAATACGGCAAATCAGGGGATACGAAGATTTTAAAGATCATGCGCTAAACCCCAATAATAAACCATCCCCAAATTCACCATTATCATGGCAACAACAATTACCCTCTGGTAAACTAACGTAGCTATGGAAAATCACCATTTTTAATGGGTAAATCCACTATAAATGGCCATTTTCAATAGCTTTTTGTATGTTTACCAGAGGATAAATCCCCATATTTTTCCATGGAAAATGGCAGGTGACTTCCACAGCGTCATCGCCCAGGACACGAGTTGCGGTAGACGTCCAGATAGTTGTCCGCCTCGACCACCATCGTTAGGGAGGAGCCACGGACCCGATACCTCCATTGCGGAGAGAACGCGGGCCAACCCGCATCAAGAAAACGACCAAGATTTAGTCAATTTTCTTCATTTGTTAATAATGCCATCAAATATGTGTATGTATATGTATGTGCATATATTGATTGTTATTTGTTGAATCGGATTTCATGTGTTGAAGCTTCATGCGTTTACTATTACTGATGCCTATTTGCTCATGAGGGAGAAACATGCTTATACATGATTGTAGTATTGCGCGAAGATTCACCTTATGTAGGCGATTCATTTGCAGGAACATGTCAAGCAACCTAAACTATTCATGAAAATTCTCTGTTGGGTAAGCCAAGATGAGGGGGGAAAAAGTGTTTTCCTTCATTGGGTACAGGAAGTTGTCGTTCGAAGGTCTTGTCTCTCTCCCCTTTTTCTGGGGTGACCCCAATTAGTCCACCGGGAATTCGTATAAATCATCTGAGGTGTTGGAAGTTGACTATGGAAATGTGCTATCGAACATTGCAAGCTTTTTCTGAATCCACAATGAAAAAATGAGCAACAACTTGGATAAATCAGCGGCCGACAGGGCAATTTGAACATGTTGACAAGATGAGCACCGTGCAGTTGCCGAGGTGCAGCAAGAGCAGGCAACATATTCTCCAAAGAGCCTCGAAGGATGCCGGCCGGATGGAGCTGTCCTATTCACAGAATTTCCGCGAGATTCAACGGAAAAAGGGGATTCGGTAGATATACTTGGGGCTGCAGTTGAGGTTACAAATGAGTATAACCATGGTTATAAACCCTCATAAGTTGGGATATAACTAAATATAAGCCACAACTATGGTGAAATATTAGGTAATATCACCCAGTACATCCACTTCCAACTGGAATCTGGAACACCAAGTGGACCACAGCCAGCCACCAGTCCCCAACAAGCCATGATTTTGTCACCGAGTTTCCATGGGATCAACGTCTTCTCATGGCAGCCTCAGGTCCAAAGATGACATAGAAAGGCGAAAATTGGGATATCATATACATATTTTTTGTTTATGTATTCATGTGTTTATCTATTTCTATTTATATGTATCTTTGTATTTATATTTAGATTTATTTAAGTTTATTTGTTGTATTTATTGTATTTATGTATTTATTTATGTATTTCTGTGTTTATGTCTTTGTCTATTTATTTATTTGCATATTTATACGTGCGTGCATGTATGCATGTTCAATATCCAATGACAACGCTGCTGAGAGACCCTAGTCATGTGCCGCTCGAGTGGGTCCATGGCCACATCATGGACTCCCCAGGGCGTCACAAAGCTGTGAGTCGAATGAGTGGTGCTTTCTCCCACTGGATAAAGTAGACAAGGAACACCCGCATAGGTCATCATAGATATCATAGATCCGAATAAACTATACTGACTATACTCAATATCTGGGATAGTACTCTTCACCATCTTTCCAGTGACGTCGCGACGTGAGCTGAGGTTACAATTCAAGTATATATCATAGATCTGCATAGTCCAGGGTTTCAGGAGCCCATGGTCATAGTGATCTGTTGCGCGGTTTCACCCGGTGCCACATTACAACAAGCATAGCTCCTTTGGAGCTTCAGCTTGAGCTTGTGACTGGCTGCGGAAAACAGATCCCAACATCGACATAGCGTTACCCAAAAAAAACGGTGACTCGCTAAAAAACATTAAAAAACACTGTATAAATCAGCAAGGACCTATTGGACGTGGCAACTGACTCAACTGACTGTGCAAATACCCCAGGGCTGCTAATACCTTTGGAACCTTTGACATTCTGAAGGCCCACCTGTCAGCACTGCAGAACTGCTGCTGCCACAGCACAACCTGCAGCTTCCGGGTCTCAACACTGATCCATCTCGGGGGTCCACAAATCAATGGGAAATCCAAAAAAACGGATGAATTTTTCCATTACCATGATTTCTTAACCAAAGAGTACTAGGGACGTCTCAAAGTTCGCAAGTTTGTCTCCAACTGTTGCAACATGTTGCAACTAACTTCACCAAACCACTCCCGGCATCCATACTCCCGGCTCCAAAAATCCTTATATAAACTCATTCCATTCCACGCAGTTTCTCGAACTTCATCTTGAATTTCCCTCACTTTGCACCATTTTAAACCAAAAAAAACGTGGTTAACTCCATGAAAATCGGTGGATACCCATGGATACCCACCATCAAATGGTGCTTTCCATCAGCTTGGCTTCACCATCAGTGGCCTCGAGGGCCACCAGCTCGCTTCACGGCTCTGACCTCGAGCCTTGGTCTTCTCGGCGGCCCAGGCCTGGAAGTGACGCCCTTTTTCGATGATAACTCGCTGTGAAAAATATGGTGGTTAAATATCATAGCTATGATAGAGGATAAAGATGGATAATGCATTGTTAACTATGATAGCTATTATAGTTAACATTAGTTAACTATGATAGCTATTATAGTTCATTGTTACCTAACTATGATAGCTGAATATAACAGCTATCATGAAGGATAAAGCCCATTGAATTGCAGTGATCCATTTTGAAATATGCCATGTCTTACCCAGACATCGTAGAGGCACCTTGACTTTGAGATCCGGTGGCTTCAACAACGTGGGCGAGGCCACATCTTCCAGGCTGCCATCAAAGGTATTCCTGGCGGAACGTGGAGAATCCTCCCACTTGTCTCATGTATAAATGGCTTACAACTATGGTTACTAAATGGTTACTAACTAACCAGTGGTTACTAACTAACCAGTGGTTACTAACTAACCAGTGGTTACTAACTAACCAGTGGTTACTAACTAACCAGTGGTTACTAACTAACCAGTGGTTACTAACTAACCAGTGGTTACTAACTAACCAGTGGTTACTAACTAACCAGTGGTACTAACTAACCAGTGGTTACTAACTAACCAGTGGTTACTAACTAACCAGTGGTTACTAACTAACCAGTGGTTACTAACTAACCAGTGGCTACTAACTAACCAGTGGCTACTAACTAACCAGTGGTTACTAACTAACCAGTGGTTACTAACTAACCAGTGGTTACTAACTAACCAGTGGTTACTAACTAACCAGTGGTTACTAACTAACCAGTGGCTACTAACTAACCAGTGGTTACTAACTAACCAGTGGTTACTAACTAACCAGTGGTTACTAACTAACCAGTGGTTACTAACTAACCAGTGGTTACTAACTAACCAGTGGTTACTAACTAACCAGTGGTTACTAACTAACCAGTGGTTACTAACTAACCAGTGGTTACTAACTAACCAGTGGTTACTAACTAACCAGTGGTTACTAACTAACCAGTGGTTACTAACTAACCAGTTACAACTATGGTTACTAACTCACCAGTTACATCCAGTGGGGAATTCCTCTAAGAAAGCTATCTGCCCCGCCCCAGGGATCGGAATGGCAATGTCAAGTTCATTGAAGTTCCGCCTTGGGATCCGGCAAGATTTCCATTCTCTTCATGCAAAAGCTCCACCAGCATCACTAATGTGGTAAACCCAACCATAAACCTACCATGTAGGGATGGGTTGTAGCACCCGTTAATTTATGGTGATTTTGGGGTTGGCTTATCATTGGGTGTACCAAATTAAACCTAAAAAAACTCGGTACACGCTCCGTTTTCTTTACTGCAGAGAGTGGGAAGGTGTCAGATGCTGGGCAGCCGAATATGCACATCTTACAGTCTTACACCCCTCCAGAATTCTTCTTCATCCCCGTGAAAAACCAGGCCCTTGATGCCTGTATGGCAGCCGCCCGTCGGTACCAGAACCGAAGTAGAGCACGTCACCGGTTTGCATCAAGACAACCTCAAGCCAAAGGATCCAAAGGGTCACTGCACCAAGGAGGCTGGCAGGAAAACAGGAACTGCATCTGGATCCCAAGCCGGCCCAAGCCCCTATGACTCGAAGCGGAAACGATCTCTCCCTCAATCTTTGTCGAACCAAGTTCCCAAGTCCCTAAGCCACTACTATCTGACCTGCTTCCGCACCTCTCAAGTTTGAATGCTGGCCCGTTAAAATCCCACCAGCTCCAGGGTTGCCCCCACAGTGTGCAACGGCCCTGCGGCGATCTGGTAGACCGGATCGCGAGACTCCAACTTCACCTGGGGCGCAAGGGCAAGTGGCAAGTGACACGCATACGCTCACTAGATCGGCTGGTTGGTGGTTCATCTGTTCATCCGCTCCCTGCCTGCCGTGGGGTCGTGATGACATCTTCAACATCAAAGCCGGTGGCCGGACCCTTGCCCCACGTGTACAGCTGGCCCTTCACAGACCTCGCGTTCAAGGCAAATCTGGCCCACCAACCAGCTACTTGGCCAAATGAATTCCAGTCGATGAATGTCAAATGGTTAAACCACTTTGAAACCTCATGATGCTGCTTTTTGACAGCTTCGGTGACGGTTTTCGAAATCCATGGTAGCCCCAGATGTGGTATGGGTCATAATTTTGCACCTGGGGGCCTGCATGGTTTCGTCAGCGTCAAGGCATCTTTTAGGACAAGTTGCACGTTGACTTGGAAGTCTTTGACAGTATCCCCCCAAAGAAATGAAGAAAATATACAAAATTCATGGCTCCCTCATGCTCCCTCCTTCTTTTCCTTGGTGGAATCTCCATATAGCAAGTGGAAATCCCCTATAAATGGAGGTGTTAATTGGAAAACCAACTAATGATGGATTTTCCAGCAAGCCATGTTTGATTACCGGAGGGTATCCCCCAAGTTTGATAGGTTCCCTCCCAGGCGTCCGCACATAGTGACAGAATGCATCAGGCCCAGAGCAACCTGCCGTAGCGGCTACAGCCATGGAGTTGTCACCAAGGGACCTACCTGGAAACCCTCTACAGAAACATATTCTACCTATATAGCTGGAAACAATCCCTTTAAATAGGGAAAAACAGGGAAAGGGGAAAATGTGGGAAAATCATCGAACGTAACTAAAATGAGTGATTTTCAAGCGCCAGGTCAAATTACTGGAGGCTCTATCATTTTTGGGATTCCCGGTGTGTAACTGGTATGGGTTCTGACGAAGTTGGCTTCCCCGTAGTTTCACAGGGCTGAGCAGGCGTCCCACCAAGTTTCACAACATGTCAGGGACACTGCCTTCCATCACAACTCCTGAGCCCCAAAAAACCTCGAAGTGCATTGTCGTATGTAGCCCATTGCAACTCCTATGCGGTCTATCAGTATGTACAACATCTACAGGTATGACCCATGCTCATTTCGTTAACACAAGTTTATCTCTTTTGTTTGAGTTCGAAAAAATAACGTTTGTTTTTACCCTTTTCTGTTCGTGGGCAAACCACTGGGTCCGTGGGTAAGGTAAATTATAATATATATATATATATATGTGTGTGTGTGTATGTATGTATGTATCACTTAAATGAGGTTATAAACCAGTTATAGATGTTACAAGATGTTATAAGTTATAACTGTTAAGGGCCAGAACTCTACCAATAATTGTAGCCAGTTCGAAATCCCACAAACCCTGCGCCTGTGACATGGATAGGCCGGACAGACTCTCCACCCGCGCGGGGCTGGGCATATCGGTGCCGACCCCATGGCCACAACGACCAAAGGAGCCCTGGCCCCAGGTGTAGAGTCCTCCCAGCTGATCTACCGCAGCAGAATGCGCCTGGTGAATGGGGCCCGGGGGGTTGAAACTGGTCGGGCCTTCACATTCTCTCAATCGCTCAACCAACCAAGCAATCAAGCAAGCAAGCAACCAATCAATCAACCAAGCAAGCAACCAACCAACCAACCAATCAATCAGTTAATCTATCTATCTATCGAACTATCTATCTTTCTATCCTTTACCTACCTACCAACCTACCTACCTACCCAGCCATCCATCCACCCAGACACCCATCCATCATCATCCATCTATATACGTATCTCGATATCACATATAGGAAAATACAGAGCCGCGCGTATCCGCATGCATCATCGTTTTGGTGTGCCAAGATATTGGCAAACTACACCAAAGTACCAAGGAAACACACGATAAATCATAGAAAATTCTTAGAACCCCTTGAAATTGCCCTGCAAAGTCCGACAGCGATGAAAACAGGAACTTCTGGACCCTCCACGCCTCCCCTGCAGCCACGTATGTGACCTTCAAGCCCTGCAAGCTCAATACCTGCCTGCCCGGAGAAATTGCAAAACATTTGGGACACGGCAGAGTGGAAGCACCCAAAATGATCGCAAGTGGACAGTATGGGACTGGAAGTCGGTTGTCATGGCTTCCCAATTTTTTGAGATCGTCATTTCTAGAGGCAGCCGCTCCCGCTTTTTCTGCCCAGCAGTGTATCTTTCAAATTGAGCACACAGCTACCTGGTTACCTAGTCACACTTCTGTGCCGCTGCCGCTCCCTTCACTGAAAAGGATCTGGGAAAAGACTGTCCACACAAAAGTCCGAATTCTCCAGGAGGTCTCCAAGACTGCGAATCTCATGCAGCAGCCTCTGCTCTTCGCGTTTTCGCTTCTCTTCTGCCAATTCTTCGCTGGAGAGTTTCCGTTTTTTCACCTCCACCACCTCCTCAGGAGCCTCATCTGCAGCTTGAGATGCTTCTGGTTCCTCGTCATCCAACTTCCAACACTCTCTGCAAGCATTGACCTCTGGGGCCAATTCGCTATCGCCCTCCAGCTGCTTCAGGCGTTGTGGCAACTGAAAGTCTTCGATCATCTGCTTCCTTGGCTGGAGAAAGCAAAAGCAACTGGCAGGTAGAAAAAAAAATCTTGACCTTCACGAGTCACTATAATGGGATCATCCCTGAACTTAGATCAACAGTTCGTAGCTGCGACTCGGTTTACATCCCATAGTATCCGAAATAGACCCAGCTAAGCTCAGACATCATCTCAGACTGAGATTCTTCATCTGCAACTTCCTCAAGAGCTGCAAGCAGGCTTTCGACAAGACTGGCACCTCAGCTTGAGGGTAATCACTCATCCCCTTGGCATCGTATCTCACTACTTCCCAGATAATCCTAGGCCATCCTTGGGTCTTTCAAACGTCAGGATGTTCAAACCTGCTTCATTTTTAGAATTTTAGAACTCCCCCTTTACCACGGGCTTCGCCCGTATGGACCATCCCTGCGAGCTCCAATCGAGGAAGTTGATCCATGTTCCAGCCCCCAGCCCTCAGGATACATCTCACAAATTCTCACATCTTCATGTGATTTTAGAATTCCACAATACCCCAAGGCCATGATATCAGATGCATTCCCCAACATTTTCCGCCATGTGGCGGTCTGAATTGGGCAACCCAAACTGGGATGGTGAACCTAAAGCCCCTCTGAAGGTTTCTGGGTCTCAAGTTTTGGACCCATATCCATCTAAGCCCAAAAATACCCTCAGGACATAAAAACCAGAACTGCTTAGGTGCTGCTCAGGTCCTCCGAGTTTGATCATGCCCCTGATATAAACTAACATTAGATGTTGAAAACTCATGGCTTTCCTCCAAAAATCATCTACAAATGATGGGTTTTCCACCTCTTTTTGGATATCAACGGAGGGTATCTGGTCTGCCAGATCTGCCAGCCTCCAGGGAGATCCATTGCTCCAAGAGCTTGGGCCCATTGAGGGCCACGAAGCGCTCCAACTTCTGCGGCTGCGACTGCTGCAGCGCCTGCAGCACCCGCAGCTTCTCGGCGCTGCTCAACGGCGCCGAGGCGTAACGAAGCAGTGCTGGCATTTGGCCACCGCGCACCTTGAGGCAGCCAGTTCTTGTGGTAAGATGGGCGTAATTATCGTAATTAGTATATGCTAAAATATGTATTTATATACATATATATATATATAAAGTATATTATATTATATTATATTATATTACATTATATTATGTTATGTTATGTTATGTTGTATTATGTTATATAAATTCCCGAATCCTATTAAACGATTCATGACCATGCCCCACTATAAAAATCCAACCTTTGACCATGGCCCATCTGCTTTCCAAGCTGAGACCCAGGCCTGGCCATCCTCTAAGAAAGCCTCCAAGCCCTGGCTGATATGACAAGCCCCTGGGCCACATAAATCGCTCCTTTCCCAATTTCCTGTTAATCCTGTTAGATACCGCATGATTTTGCAGTTTGGCAACTGACTTTTTACACTCCTCAGAGTTTCTATCTTTACACTCCTCAGAGTTTCTATCGGCTCCAATTCATGAATATTGCCTCTGATCGCATGATGTCAGTTCGCAAATGCATCTATGGCAAGACAAATTCCAGCTACACTGTTATCAGATAGTTATCACATGCCAACGGAATTTCTTTCCGCCCAATCATCTAAGGCGAAGGAATGTCAAATGTTCGGAGGTGCCTGGATTAAGGCGGGTTCACCGGCCATGCAAAAGGGGAAGCTAAGAAACACGAAAATACCACATGAATAACAGATTGTGGTGCTCCACCGAATCTGGCAAAAATGTCAAGCAATTGTAGATGGTCGTGATTCATCTTCCCAAGACAAACAGAAAGCTCAAAATATCTGAAAACTCCAAACACGATATGGTCTTGTCTGAAAATCGCTGTATCCCGAAATTTGATGGTTGATCATCGTCTATCATTTTTACGGTAAACCTCATGTGCCCAATCACCATCAATTCAGCCAAATCCCCAATGGTTGCTGCTGAAAATATCACCCACCTTGGCTTCCTGGTCGTCATCCGCACTGGGCGAGGGCGCCCTGGCGTTGAAGATTCTAAGGCTTCTATGACAATCAGCCGCTTTTTGAGGGATAAAGGGGAGGAAAAGAGCTTTTTTTCAACATATTGAAACCACCACCTGATTAACCCATTCACTTTATTACAAGTGAGTTTGGGTTAAATATTCGCAATATCATCTCCATGATTGGTAGTATCCCGTATCCCCTATTGATTGTTTGCTGGAAAGAATGCCACATGAATTGAGCAAAACTGCAAAAAATGTATGCACATATATAAAGGCAGTGGGAGAAACAGAGAGAGAGAGAGAGAGTTGGCAAACAATTCTATATTCTACACCCATTACATCACAACATCACCCAAAACTGGGAAAATCTTCGAACTTCGAAGCTCCTCAAGTCCCAGTGGATGGGCTTCACCCACCTGGGAGCGCCCACAGCACCCTGCGTCAGGGCCCCAGAAACCCCATGACGTCCGGCGGCTCGGCGCAGCTCTCGGCCCTCGCGCCGGAGCCTTGGACGGAGAAATCATGGGAAAATCATGGGAACTTCATGGGACATGTGCCATTTTTCTGAAATATGGTTTGAACATATGAAGAAACTTCACAAAAAGATGGTTGAATCGTGATTTGCTGGTGTGAAAGTGCGTAAGACATTTGGAAAATCATGGTGCTCAGAGTTGTATAAATCACTCCATTTGTGGCCAAAAGGCTGATAATAGTTGTTTAATGAACATTCGTGCACAGCGCATTTCAAAGGAAACAAAGAAGATGCCACATGGTAATAAAATGCTGTGCCGTGCTCATGGGAAAAGATGACAAAATGGAAAAATTGTATGCAACCCAATTTCTATCCTATATACTGTAATTATCGGTATGACTGATGTCCAGATCATTCCAGGCCCCTTTGAACAGTGCGAGCCGTCCTTGCAAGCATCTACGAAGGGAAAAGAGACCTTAAGCAACACAACTTGGGATATGACCAAGAAAGAATGTGTATGTAGCCTTCATCATCAAAGCAGGAAATGGGAGTTGATGGATGTTCATTGAGGATGCTAACCGGTTGGCAGTTCCAATACCCGCTGATTTTTTGTGAAGACTCCGGAGGTTATAAAAAGGCTATAGTAGCCATGGGTTGGCCCAATGAGTCATCCTGCCATTGCCAAGTCCAGCAAAGCTGAGCCAAGAAACTGCAAGAAATGCTGAAACAACTCCTCCTCACTATGCTGCAACACCAGCGCTTGGGACTCCATTGGCAGTGACTGAGCAAAGGTTTTCTTGTGTTCAAGGAGAGTTGACTTTGTTTTGCCGCCTGTTCCAGGACAGCCAACACAACAAGAGACAAAAATGAAGCACCGGTTCCCTGGGTCAAAATCAATTTAGTCTTGAGACCATTTGATTTTGGAAACCATCATTTTGCTTGAAGGGACTCATAGGGACTCGCATCCCACACGAAACACTTTGAATATGTAGATGTTACCTCAGAAGCAAAGGAGACTGGAGAGAACCTCGAAATACTCCACATGTAAGACACCCTCAGCAACTCACGTAGAACATTCGGAGCCAAAGAGGTCGGTCGGAGTCGTCGGAAGCGTCTGGGTTCGACCCCTGTCCAGGATTCCACTCACATCATTTGGACCACCCGGACCACTTAGACCCTGCCCGGAGCCCAACAGATGCCATCCCCCCATGCCCTCTTTTTGAGCCACCGTGGTCGGCTGATTTGGAGCTGCCCGGACGGCACCATTGGTTCCACCGAGTTGTCGACATGGGACGCCAACATGAAATACCTCCATATGGGCACCCAAAAATAGTAGATCACAGAGATGTAGATAGAATATGATAGAATACAAGATACTGAACCCAAGGTTTCCAAAGGGGATGAAAGATTTAGGTCTCGAAATATAGTTTTAAAGCGTTGGAATTTGGGGCACATGTGTCACATGTTGGGAACATACCTATATTTGAACGTATGACCGTCTGCCAAAACCCTAGGTTTCACACTAATACCACTGGTCTATCTGGATGTTCATCTCCAAAAAATGTGATCTCGTGGATGTTCTGACCATCTGACCATCCCAACGGAAACGACCGTTGGCCAGTTGTGGAGCAGCATTCTCCTTCGACAACTCTTCATGCAAAGGTGATGCACAAGTGATGAATCCGCCCCGTCCCGGTGAATCAAGAGCTAAAAACAACAAGTTGAATCGCTGCACAATTGGAGCACTGAAATCGAACCTGGAAATCATGGAACCCAAGATTTCTCGTGTCCAATACGAGATCTGCCGCAGATAACAATCAGCTGTTGTGGGTTCCATTGTTGTCACGGGGTAGTACCATTACAGCTTGCCCGGGTCGGGTGACTTCCCTCCAGTATTTCAGCGTGGAAGTCTAACACAGCGATTGCCACTTTTCAGGTTCGGCGCCAGGGCGCAGCCTGCCGGGGTCGAAATTAGGAACCCCGTTGCCCATGGTCCCTGTAGGCAGCTGGAACCACAAAATGGTTCAATGTTCCTCACCGCTGCATCGATGAATAATATGGAGACTCTCTCTCTCTAGCTAGCAACCCCCAAAAAGTTAGAAAACCAAAATCCTCCGAAGGCAGTGGCACATGACTTTCTTTTCCATCTTTTTGGGGATGACTCATGTCATCCATGGACATTCAATGCCTATGGCGGCACCTCTGCAGTGACGTCTCAAATGCTCAGGCACCTGCGTTTTCAGGCTGAGGTCATGGTCCAGGCGGTTGCGAATCAATGGATGGTCTATGGATATTTTGATACCGCTGAACTGATGTTTTCACAAAAATGGAATCAGCAAATCAATGGATTGGTGTCCTGGTTTCGTTGGTTAGGGACATTCTGAAAAATTCCACCGGGAGTTTTCAGTTTCTTCCCACCAACTATGGAGGTTGTCGGGGAACTTTCCCTTCAACCAGTTCGGGGACAAACCTGACATGGTGGATGATGGACTTGGGAAGGTACCTTATCCTTAGCCACGCCCAAAAAGAAGACACTGCTGGTTCCACCTCCCCTGGTTTCCACATATTTTCCCAAGTTTCCGGAGCTCAGAGGCCGTTGTCTAAAGCGCAACCCAGGCGCTTGGGCAGGCCCTCCACCAGTCCGGGTGCCCGCTGTTGTCGCGCGATGGCTTTCATGGCAGGGTGTTGCTCCTCGTCCTGGGAATTCAAACATGGATGGTGGCTGGATTCTGACCGGCAGAACCTCTGGGCACCAGCAAAATTAGGATTTGACATTTTAGCGCTTTTATGTGAGTTTAATTGATTTTATGGTAACAGATTTGATCCCACGCGTATGGAGATAACCAACAAATAATGGAGGAATGACCCCCCTGACCCTGCCTCCTCGGGATGCTGCAACGAAGCCTTGGGGGAGTGGAGATCGTCATCGGAATCCGGTTCGATCCAGGTGACGGATTGCTCCAAGAGGTAGCCCAGGCACACCTGCCGCACTGCCGGTTCCAGTTGCGTCTCGTTAGGCGCTGAAAGTTACCCTCTGGTAATTTAACATATAGCCATTGAAAATGGCCATTTATAGTGGATTTTCATTGGATTTTCCCAATTAAAAATTGTGATTTTCCATAGTTATGTTAGTTATAATGGGAAAATCCACTATAAATGGGCCATTTTCAATAGCTATTTTGACATAACCAGAGGGTACACCAGTTGCACCATCCACCCAGCGCCTGCGGGGATCGCCAGTCTGCCTCCGGCACCGAAGTTCCGGGCGGGTTTTCGGGCGCCTGGTCGCCGGGAGGCTCCTGGGCAGCCAGAATTTCCAGTAAGACTTTGGCCATTACCATCTGGTTATGACTAACATAGCCATGGAAAATCCCCTGTGAATGGAGGTTTCAATGGGTAAATCCACTATAAATTGACCATTTTCAATAGCTATGTTAAATTACCAGAGGGTAAATCGATACACCTATTCCGAAAATGTTGCCATGTCTTGATAGACCCACTAAAAAAGTGAGGACAAAAGGACATGGAAATTGTTGCCTAGGATCCCAGACGGCCACCACCACTTCAGCATGGGTAACTTTGATCCAAAAGAAACAAGCCTCAAAATAATGAGTCAAGGCATCCCCATGGTTTAGCATCACTTTCCTCATGAGAACTGCATCAAACATCTCTAAGATCGAGCTCCCCCCAACGTCCTCCTCATCCGACTGATCCACCGCAGGTTTGTGGGCAAGCTGACCTAAAAGCTAAATCGCTAGTGGGTCACCCTGCCAACCCGATGAGCAGTTGGAGCATACAGTAATGACAAACTCGTCTCCGCGATTGGAAGTTGTATAATCACACAATATCACATAGTATCACATCTACACTACCCCAGCCGTGGAGAACATGTATGTGTCCATTTCAGCGTTTCATTTTGAAATCTCATTGCAAGGTTTTTCACAGGCAATTGCTCCAAGAGGATCTGAGATCATCTGAGATCCAAGAATGTGAGAGACCACAACCATAGACCACCGTCAACATGCCAAACTCCTCCTTCCCCATGTCTACCGGAAATTGCGGGAAAAGAGCAGCTGCAGGGTCGCATGATACCCTGCACCAACAAAAAAGACAGTTAAGGGTGAAAAAGTCCGGGGGGTTCATTGGGGTTGTTTGGTGGTATAACAACTCGATTCGAACCCCGATAAGTTGGGAATAATATCACCCCCACAACTGTGGTTCAATGTGCTATAAGCCCCCCTTCACAGCAAAGAAAACGCGAAATCCACGTCCCATCAGCACCCCACCAGGCATGGCCGTAGGATGTTTAGGACCGCGGGTGCCCAGTTCCAGCCTCAGTATAGGATGCATCTTGAGTAATGATGTGAAATGAAAGAAAGGGATTGAAGCGACGACTGTCAGGGTGTTGTTTACAGTTGTTGGACCTGAGTTGGATGGTTCAAGCACGATACCATGACTTGCTTGGAAAGCCACCAAAGCACCAGGCCAGCCGCGCAACCCCGAGCAGATGCTCATCTGAATCATCTTTGAGATAGAAAAGTCATCCTTTACCATTTCAGTCCATGTTGACTGTCATTTACAAAAACAATGAAAACCCTACTCCCTCCCATTTATATCGATGGCAATTTTATTGGTGATATTCATGATGCACTACACGTCTAATCCAGCTAATGGACATTTCTCAACCCATGGATTATCCATACTTAATCAAATCTATCCTATCCACACTGCCATATGTGTTCGTGACACAAACCTTGGGAGGTTTTCGAGCTATGGTGATTTACCATTTCACTGGTGACAGTAGCAACCCAAAAAAAAAGATGCCGAAAAGTAAAATCCTACTATAAATAGTAGTAAAATGCGTTTCTATAAGCGAAAAACTCATGGAACTGTTTTAACGTTACCACATCAAGGTTGCCCAACTGTCTTTCATGATGGTTCCCGGGCACCCGACAACGCAATGCGCGACAGTCGTAGCCAGGCTTCGGCCAGGGGCGTTACTGACCTGGGAGAAAGGGCAATGTCTTTGAATGAAGATGGGATATACAGTAGATGATATCAAGCTACAGATCATAGATATAGAATATAGGGTTAAACTGATTCAATCAGATCTTTAAGATCAAGATAGACTTGGGTAACATCTATAAACTGCATTAGCTTTTTCCGAAAAACATCCAAGTGTTGAGACTATTGCACTGGATATAGATACAGACCAAGGGATACCTGACCTTGGATTTAAGTGCATTGTTATCTTTGAAAACATCTACAAAGAGAGCGAGAGAGAGAGAGAGAGGCATAAACATGTATACATATGTGTGTGTGTGTGCGTAAGAGATGTAATATCAAGGTAGTAGGGGTAGATATTGATGCCGGTCTCGATATAGATATTGACAATAGATACCGATGCCTATATATATATATGTATGTATGTAGATGTGTATGTATATATATATATGCATACATAATATATATATATATATATATATATACGTATGTATAATTATGTAATTCTGTGTATGTATATATATATATATATCTCTGTGTGTGTGCGCATGTGGAGACACAGGTATAGATGTACAGTACACATAGACAATTCTCAACCATTCGGTTTTATCGTTTTTTGGGGCGTCCAATTTTTGATCAAATGATGGTCAGACTTCTGATGTCGAACTGCCCCACGCCGGATCCGGTTTGGCTGGAACCAACCGGTGGGGTCGTACTCAATTCGCATCCAAGGAGCTCTGAGTCATCTTCCTTTCAAGCACATCCGGGAGCACAAATTGCAAACTAAACAGCCCTCAAACAAACTGAAGTGCAAAATTTCATAAACATCAAAACTGCAGTAACTGCAGTACCCCGCATAGACCCTTCAAGTCCTGCCCCTGGGCCCCTCATTCCACATATCCGTGCCTCATCTCCTTCGGACGTTGGGCCTGGATCCAACGTTTGAGGTTTCATCCACCAAAAATCGTGGATCAAATGTCATGAGGAATTCGTGGGGATTTAACCGATTTAACCAACAGATATGGGGATTTCATTGAAAATCTTCTATAGGATACCCTCTGGTAATTTAACACAGCTATTGAAAATGGCCATTTATAGTGGATTTTCCCATTGAAAATGATGAAAATGGTGATTTTCCATAGTTATGTTAGTTTACCAGAGGGTATTGCGCAGCAAAAATTCTGCTGGACTCCGGTCTGAGCTCTCCACGAAAATCTTTCACGGCAGCTCTGGCACAGGACCTCAAGCTGACTCAGTCTCCCGAATGGTCCGAATGGGAATAGGAAACCCAGGAAACTTAGGAGAGATCGTATAAACGTGGAATCATGTGAAATCCCAACAAAATGTTGGGGTCTGAATCACCTCTGGCATCTAAACACTGTGCGCAAACCATATGGGCACATATCCCTGAAGACGTCACATGCAGGGACTGAAGCGAAAGCCCGGCGCTGTGACCCAAAAAGGCCTGAGACCCGCTTACATTACATGAGCAATCCGTTCCAAACTTCTCCTTCCTATTCATCCAGAAGGATTGGCACTGCAGGCAAGTGACACCGTGCGCTTTCCTTGGCATCCCATCGCGCGAGTGTCTAGGTGGCCACTTTCAATTTGGGGGGATGCTAGAGCGTCCAACCATTCCACTTTTTTCAAGCTCTTTTGTAGTAGTGGCTTGCCAATGCATGTTTTGTTGGAACGATGTCAACCCCTTCACTCCACTCCCTCACACCACCACCACTTCCAGCCCACTTGGAGGATCAACTTACTTCCAACCACCTCAACAAGAATCCCATTCCCTACCCTCTGGTAATTTAACATGGCTATTGAAAATGACCATTTATAGTGGATATTCCCATTAAAAATGGTGATTTTCCATAGTTATGTTAGTTTACCAGATGGTAATATTGAACACCCCATTCTATGGTCCTCAACATGCGGTTTCATCCCCCACTAGTCACCATGGTTTCATCCGGGGCTGTTGAATATCAGGGAAAGGGATTCATTGACTTACAATGATGACAACATGGATATTTTTTACCACATGAAAGACCCAGGTGAAGAATATCCCATTACTTCTTGGGCATTATATAATATATATATGTATGTATACACAATATGCCTGCAAAACCATAAAGACAAAATGTTCTGCCCGTACGGGTTTGGACATGTTTTTTTGCCTGTTACGGTTCTTGCCAGATACGGCCATGTCCGGCTGCAAACCCTCTACTTTACAGGTCAATAGTTTTCCTGAAATCTTGGATTTGTCGGACTGGTTCCGACAGTATGAGTGTCTCGTCTAGAGACAGTATTTGGGGCAGTATGTTGACATCTGCTTACTGTTTTTTTTCAACATGATGTTGAAAAAATACTAGTGTTTTATGGGTACATCCAAATTTGATGAGAAATATGGCAGTATTTGTGGCCAGATTTGGGTACTGGATCACGACTCCCAACTTGCTCCACTTCAGGCTGAAATTCCTCTTTTGGAGACTGTCGGAGGATGTCCGAACCCGGTGTTGTCAAAGGATTTGAACAACCCTTCACAATCAAAAACGAAAATACGCAATTGAACAAGAAAACGTCCGTTACGGGTAAAACCCATAATGGACCAAAAAATTGTCCATACGGCTATCCAGGTATAAATAAATAAATGAATAAATAAATAAATAAATAAACATATATATATATATACAGTATATACTGTATATATGATCTTGGTATATCTTGGTCATGTGTATATTTCCCATTCCTATCCCATCCATATGTGGCAATGTGGCACATGGCACATCTGGCCGAGCAACTCCATTCCGAGCCCTTGGACTTGCCCGGCGTCGCTCGGGGCGAGGGACTTCGGGTGGGACCCTGCGGCCACTTGCCACCAGCCTTGGATTGTCAAATCCGCAAGGATGGAAAACAGAAAAGGGAAGGAAATTTGATGAAAAAATGGATGAAACATGTTGAAACCTCAAACCAGGTGACTGTTCCATACTGAAAAAGCCCTGACAAATCATGAAAATCCTCCGCTTCCGCCAGGTCACCTGCGCTGGCGCAGTGGGTCGCCGAGCCCGAGGCCGGCCCGGCGGTTTTTGTGGTTTGAGGTCTTCGGGCATTTGGATGTTCGCCAGGGCCGCGGCCAAATCAAAGAACCTGTGGCTGGCCCAAGGGGCCCCCTTGGGGCCCAAGGGGCCCAACCCCTGCTGAGGTCCGGCAGGGAAGTTGAGATGTCCAAGTTTTCCCCGGGGAGGCCCTCAGGAAATCCCCAATTCCAACGGATTCATTTTCTCTATCAAATTGGCCATAAATTGGAGGTATACCCCGTGTCTTCAGGCACACCCATATCATATCAAGTTATCTAGTTACGACTTTTCTTGATACCAGTACTTCATCGAAGTTCTATATAATTACATATATATATATGTGTGTGTGTGTACATGATATATATATATATAATATTTGGGTTTGGAACAGGTAGCCCGCCAAAACAAGCGCTACCGGGCCCGCACTTCCCCCCCGGCCGAAGCTTGGGGTTCAAGTCGGCCAAAATTAAAATGCAACCGAGAAGCAAGATCACCATGTTTCTACAAAACAAGGCTAGTGACAAATGTGAAGAGTTTGTTGTTGTTGATGAGTGCGACGTATTGTGAAGTGTGCAAGTTGTTGTTGCGGTTGTTGTATTAGATGTAGAAAGAAGTTGTTCTAAAGGTGAACAAAGAGACGAAAAAGGTGCAAGCAGGGGAACCCGAAAGAGACAAGGGAGAAGGAGGAAGAGAAAGGGGAAAGGGAAAAAAATAAAATAAAATAAAAATAAGGGACCTCTGCACAGACCAGAATGACCCTTGAAGGACAGGGAATCGCACTACAGGTCATGGGCTAGTTCAATGGTGGTTTCATGAGAATCGTGCGCAGTGGCGCAGAGAAGAGCTCCTTCCCGACGCATGTTGCTGATGACTGTGGTGAAGATTGGGTTGAGGTCAGGAGCACCGGCAAAAGCAGATAGACAATCGATGCGAATGGTTGAAACAGGGATGGGCCCCAAGTGCCTCTGGAGGTAGCGAAGGAGCCAACGTTTGATGCGACGGCAACTGAGGCCGGTTTGCTGAGCGACATTGTGACCTGCACCTACCTGTGCGCGATTTGCAAGCGAGGAGACGTGGAGCCAGAGCTCTCGCGGAACAGCGGGGCGGAGCACACGGATTGGAGAGGAAGCTGCAAGGTGCATCCAGGAGTGGGCACGGTCTGGGCAGAGGCAGATGGTGTGGTCTGGGGTGGGGGCATATGCTTGATGCGCCCCGCAGTTCCAGCGGCCACAGTGTGGACGAAAGTGAATTGTCCGCCGGCAGCTGATGCAAACACAAGGACCAGTTTGACCGCACCAAACACAAGGCAATGTTTCGGTGGAAGCGGACTGAATTTGCGCTTTCCCGCAGGTGGGGCAGAGACAAAGGGCTGGGATAGGACCAGGGAGCAGGTCACAGGTGCAGCGGGTGTGTAGAAGAGATTTGGCATCATCCCACGACAGGTGAAAACCCCAACTAAGGGATGTACCCGTGCGAATAGGAACTCCTCGAGATTGTGAGAGTGATACCCAAAGGGCTGGAGAGGAGGCACTGTGCCTAGCTCAGCCTGGAGCCGTGCGACAAGGATTGGTTGAGTAGGTGCCAACCAACGCAGTTGTTGGAGGACACCCTGCCCAGCCGGAGTGGAGCACCAGGCTGAGAACCTGTCTGAGGGAGACCGGGCAGCAGGAACCAAAGGATGAGGGACAGCTTCTGGCTGGTGCATATGTAACTTAACACAAGAGATAAAGAATGACATCCGAGTGGCGTAGTGATAGCGAATGGCTCTAAGGCCGTGCAAAAGAAGCGTTGTGAAGTCGAGGACTGGTTTCAAACGAATTCTCCGCGCAGATGCTTGGACAAGTTCGTCTGCCAGTTGGTCAGGATGCAAGAGGTGTGCAAACTGCTCAGGGGCCAGATCATCCAAGGGTGCGACCTGATACTCAGCAAGAGAACGGCCCGCCCGTAGTATGGCATTACCAAGATCCATCGGGAGGACGCCGCGATGCGCCAGATCACTTTCTCCCTCGGCTAAGACTGCCGACGCACTGTGTCCAGCCACGTCGGAGGTAAGCTCAACGTGACGAGAAGGAATGTGCACGAGCCACCTCCAAGCAGAGAGAAGAGGCCACTGCCTGGCGGATACAGGGTCTGGCTCCTGCAACAGATGAGCCTGGCCTTGCTGACTGAGAGAACGCTGCCACGCACGAGCAGCAGATGAGATCGTGCCCCGCTCATCTAGCTTTTGCAGATGCTGCTCGAGGATGGAGCGCAAAGCATCTGCCAATGGCTTCGTCACTGGACAATCCATGGTGGTGTGTCGGGGTGTACCCGGGGAGAGACGACACAGGGGGCATGTGCGAGGTGTGTCAAGGAGATTTCGCTCATATAGAAATTGCGCAACACGCGCATACTCAGGCTGAACTTTGAGCTGCTCAGTCCATCCTCCACCAATGAGGCGAACGCAGCGGAAAATAGTTGCCGACAGGTCAACTGTGTGAGGATCATGCGCCAGACGCAAAATAGATGAGGCAGGGAGCGTTGAGCATGACGTATAGAAGTGCGGATCAAGGGAAGCAGTGAAGACTCGCTGTTGCAATGAAGCAAGTTTACCTTGAACAGGACGGCGTTGCCATTCGGAGAGGGCCTGCTGCCGAAGCAAGGCGCGAACAGCCGCCCGTGCAGGAGAGGTGACCATGGTACGTTGGATGCTGAGGAATGCAAAAGTGCCTCCGGAAGGCAGTAGCACAGGATGGGGAAGGGGCTGCTGCAGAGCAGTGCCACACAGCCGATCTTGTGCTTCATTGCCCTGGACGATGATGGGCAAGGGCACCTTCGCTCCTACTTGGTGGCTACGTACATCCACACCTACCAGACCAAATTCGCAGAAGGCAATCTGACTGTACCAGACATGTCGCCCTGCTTCAAGTTTTTGGACATTCCACTGGTCAGGGAACATAATCTGGTGGAGGCGCCAGCTCGGAAGCGCTGTTGGTGGAGACGCCCAACTTTTCTTGAGGCGTTGGAGAGTAGTTTGCACACGGGTGGCTAGCGGGATGTTGGCTGAGCGGAGGACACCCTGCGGAGTGTGTGCATCGGAAAGGCTGCGGAGAAGAGAGAAAAGGGAGCTTCGGTCACCAACATACAGGTTCCAATTGCCGGGCTGCGCATATCGAAGGCCGGCAATCATGCCCATCAGCTCGGTGGTGTGGATGTCGCAGGCAGCGTTCCCATAGGCTGTGGGAAGACGACTGACTATGGGTGATGTCATGACAGTGCTGGAATCCCAATACCCGGGAGGATCACCAAAGGAGCGGGCTTGGCAACTGAAGGACGCTTTATCGCCCCCAGAGAATCCTCCATCGCTGAATATGCCAAAGTCCGCACCCGTGGGAAATGGTGTGAAGGAATCCAAATAGTCAGCACGTGGGCTGGCGGACAAAGCTTGATGTTCCCAAGCAGTGGTTGGCCATACTTCAGGAATCTGGGGGGGCGGGAAGCCTGGCCGGAAAAGGGAGCACTCGGTAGACCAGTCCCGCCGTGCCATAGCTTGCGCATGCGCGACAGCGCGAGAACATTGGAGAGGTGTGAAAGGGAATGCAGGTGGTAGAACCTCTTGCCACAATCCAACGGCTGACCAGCTATGAGCTGGCCGCCCTTCCATGTCCCATGATTGGAAAAGCAATCGGAAAGTATTGGCCACGAACCCAACCCGAGCCACTGTGACTGAGGGAGGTGTTGACTTGTATGGACCAACCAGAAGGTGGGCAGACTGTGCTGGCAGCCCATCGAGAACCCGTGATGTAAAGCGGTCTGTTTGCACATTGATGTAGATGCCGTAGTGTGCCAAAAGACGGATGGCCTGCACTACCAACCCAGTAGCCTGCTCGGCTTCCGCTCCGGGGAGGAAGAGAACCTCCCGTAACGCATCCCGGGCAAGGATGGATGCCGTTGTGTAACCACTGAGGAGGAGCAGCAGATCCGAAGCAGCAGCCGCTAGCACGCTTTCAACGACGCTGGGAATTTGGAGGCCGCCGCTGGATGCGGCCACAAGCAGACTCATGCGCTCCACAGTGGAGCGGACACCCAGACCTGCCAGAAGGAGATGCTGGAAGGCCGCGTCAATTTTGTGGAGCTCAATCGGGGGAGGAAGACCAACAAGAGGGACATACGCAATGGCTCCGCGCATTATCCATTGGAAAAAGGCCAAGCGCTCATCCCATGATGAACGCCGCTGTGAAAGGCGGCGGAGGGCCTGTTGAAGCTTGACAAGGAGGGCATCTGCAGCCAAGGTGTGCTTGTCTTCAAAAGTAGTGATTTTTCCGAGGAGTTTCCACTGAACCGGGAAGTGTCCGATTCAAAGTGTTGCGACCACGCCGACCTTGCCAGATATCGTAGGACGTCACAGCGACACTGTCGGAGGAGAGACCAGTAGTCGGGTCAAGACTGTCCCAATTGTCTTCCCAGTCGGATGCGAAGGCGGAAAATTTCGCCCAAGCAAAGCCTATGCCAGTGTGGACACTACCGAGACCCAATTCAGACACAATTACTGGAACATCGGCAATGCCCGAGCCGTAGTGCTCAGCGTCATCAGAGTAACCCACAGTAGCAACCCTGCGCCCACTGGATGTGACATATGCCGCGGGACTGCTTTCTCGGAGGCGCAGGATCGGGTCCTGGGCTGGGCGCGACAGCGCCGGACTAGAGATACCCCCTTGCATGACCCCCCGTTGGACGGCCAGGTCTGCGGTCAAGCCGAATTTGGTTTCGAGCTGGAGAGTATGCCCTTGGAAGGCTGACGCATAGAATCTGCGCGCACAGTCTGGGACACCGCGGGCTTGGAGCACTGCATCAATTTGTGGAAGGAGAAGGGTGTTGAAAATTTTTTCGTAATCAGAAGGGATGCGGCAAATGGAGCGGCCATGACGGACGGCATCCTCACAAAGCAGCGCGTCTGTGTGTAATACTTCGGAAGCTGCATTGACTCCAGGCACATATGCCTGGTTGGTGATGGAAAAGGATATCAAGAAGGATGGCTGCTGTTGGAGGCGCTTGGTGACCGGCCCCTCCAACGCCTTGAAAGCTTCCTCCAGCATCGAAAGCGCCCGATACCCGCCGGTAGGCTTGGGCATATGGACTTGGATCGCCCGTTTGAGGGAAGGAGCCACCAGGGCACTCAGCCGCTGGCAATCAAGAAGTTCCCAGAAGAGTTCTGCGACCCAAGGGGGGAACAGAGACAGGAACAGAAGTTTGAAGCCGGACGGGCCAGGACGTGAATTTCGCATTTGGCTGACGAGGCGGGTTCGCTCCGCAAGGGTCAGTGGGAGTACAGGCGTGTAGTCAGGCCGAGTGGCTTGGCGGAGTAAGAGCCAGCCGTGATCTTGATGCAGCCACCAATCAAGACTGCACTCCGATGGAGGGCGGTCTGAAATACTGACAACGATCCACGAGGCAGAGGAGACTGGAGCCGGTCGCCTCGCAACGATCCAGCCCGGATCAGAAGATTCAAGTGTGAGAACCCAAGTCCCAATACTGATAGCGAAGCCCCCACAAATGCGAACATCATCCCGGCTCCATGTGACATGGACCCAAGGACCATGACCAAAGTAAGCCACAGCAAGACGGTCATGGAGGGCAGGTGCATCTTGCACAGAACGGTACAGGAAGGCCGGCGATCCACGAGATATAGCTGTCGCATCTCTCCATTGCGTGACATATGGGCTGACCCATGGGGAGCGAGGGTGGTGGAGCAGGCGGGCCCATTCCTGGATAGCGCCTGCCAGCACCTCTGCTTTAGTCCGAGGTCGTACAACCGTACCATCGGCACAGGTGAATGTGGAAGGCACATAACCTGAATCCGGAGCGAGCCTGGGTCGCATCAAACGGGCCCAGGATTTGATGCGACCTGACCTAAGATGCTGGACGCGAAAGCTATGCTGGTTGTGGTGGATCTGCGTTCGAAGCCGTTGCCGGCGGTGACGAGCTTCCACCAGCCATAGCTGAATTTGTTGGAGGCAGTCGTGGGGTGATTGATCTGGCGAAGACCAAGAGAGGGTCGTGGTCAATCCAGGTGGCTGGACCTGCTCACGTGGGGGAGGCAAAGCACTGTAAGTTAGGTCACGCCAGCCGAGGGATATCAGCCATTCACGTTTGTTGTCTTCGAAGGAATCCCACGGAGGGACATTGTGGCAGGGCGCATGACGGAGGAGGCGCGTTTCGGCCTTGTGAGCTTTGGTCCAAAAAGGTTGGACTGAGCGAAGCGCATCCCCAAGGTCGCCAGGAGGGTTGTTGTCCAGGAAGACATTGCGCAGAACGCGAAGATGGTGCACGCATTCCTCCCAGGCCTGTGTGGCCCAGCAATGCGCACGGGAGGAGTGGGGGGGAATTTCAGGGAGGCAGACGCACAGGATATGGAAGAGGTCGTCGAACGTGGAATGGAGATCCTGTGCCAGTTCAGCCGTGCGAAAATCTGCAGCTTGGTGTGCTTTGACGCCGTCCATGCCTTCAAATCTGTGGGCAAAAAGTTCCGTGGGTTGCACAGCCGCAAAGATACGAAGACTTTCTCTTTGAAGGTGTCGCAAGCGCAGCTCATGGGGTCGGAGTTTAGCCAGAACCTGGCGCTGTAAAGAAGGGGTGGACGAGTTCATGGCTTGCACGAGGCGTTTCCAGGCAGGCGGTGCATGTTGGGATTCGACATCCTCGGTTTCGGGTAAGGAGGTGAGGAAATCTGCGAGCACGGGCTCATGATCCACCCGGCGATGCCACCCAAGAAGCACAGCAGAGTTGATGACGGGGAGGGGGGCATGCCCCACAGGGTTCAGAATCCAGATGCCGTCAATGCGACTCGCAGTGCCTGCATGAGAGAAATATGTGAAGGCACGGAGGGATGGGTGACGTAGACGGAATACATCTGCACAGTCAAACTCCGATAGCTTTGCAGCGAGGGAGGCGGGGCGCATGATATGAGTTGTGCTCCAGCAGTCAATCTGGGGTGATTGGACCGAGTTGAGGTCACCCAGGACCAGGCATGTCATGCCTTGAACGTCAGCTGCTTGAAGTTGCTCTTGAATGAAACGGACTAGTTGCGATTCAGCAGCAACTTGGAAAGCGTTGCCGTCAAAGCCCGGCAGGCTGCTTCCGGAAATGGCATACACCCCAATGACACGGAGCGGTAGACCTGAGGAGAGATACAGAGTGCTTGCAATGCAACGCCCTAAGCGATCCCGTGAGATATCAGACCAAGTGGAGATGATGGAACGACGTACTACAAGAGCGACACCAGCCCCGCCACGAGGGGCCAGTCCCTCTTCAGGAGGCCCATGGCAGATGGCTGTAAATCCGGCATCTGAAAAACCTTCCAGGAGGAGGGGGGCAAGCTGTGAGTTGGAGAACCCAATTTCAGAGACACAGCCTAGGTCTGCTCCCAATTGTGTGAGGGAAGAGCCCCACCATCTGCCAACAAAACGGGCATCTGTCCCTGTCCGTCCAGCCTGCAGAGCAGCCACTCGGAGAACCTTACTGCCCCTCCATGTCATGTCATCGCCGATACATTGCGCTTGAAACAATGGGCATGGGATGCGAGCACCGACCTGAAGATTTTCTCTTGACACTTGTCCAGCTTCAGAATCCGACTCTGAATCGTGGTGGTTGGGAGCAAGGAAATCCATATCAAAGGACCGGGCAGGTTGTACTGATTGAAGCGGAAAAAGAGGAAGTCCACGCCGGGGCCGAGGGCCGCACAGGGGCCGGTAACAGAAGACGGTGGAAGCCGCACTGGGGCCAAGAGGCCGCACAGGGGCCGGCAACAGAAGGCAATGAAGGCCGGACTGGGGCCAAGAGGCCGCACCGGGGCTGAACAGCCACACAGGGGCCGGCAGACAGAGTAGGACGAGGCCAAGCCTGGTAGAAGATGCTCCCAGCGCAGAAGGAGCCAAGGGAGAGATGTACAGAGGCTGGTCCTTATTTTTGTTTTTATTTATTTATTTTTTCCTTTTTCCCTTTCCTCCCCCTGACTTACCTAGGCAGGGCAGGGAGACAAGGAACAGGTCAAGTTAGGGGAGAGAAAGTTAGACAGAAGGAGACAGAAGGCTGTGGTTTTGTTTTTGTGCGGTTATTTTGGTAAGAGGTGGAAGTTGCCTAAGACATGAGCATATTACGGTCAGATCCCACCACCGCATGCAGTGTCGTCTAAGGCTAGGTTGGTGAAAGTGACTATGTGTTTGGTTTACTTCAAACAGCTGCGGCCAAACATGCAAAAAGATCAGAGCTGCAAAGTTCAGGCATTCATGAAATGTGGTCTAAGCTGGCACTGTGACCCATACAGGAGGTAGATCCCTGATTGGCAAGTGTCAGTACGCATCTGAATTGGTAGAGTCAAGTCATGCAGTGCGCAGCCGGCATCTTTTTACCGGTCCATTTCAGGAGCTCAAGGCTCACGGTAATCTGCCATACGCACATTGCACTGTGGGCATCTGTCATCTTCGTCAATCCACTGGGAAAGGCATTCGTAGTGGAAGACGTGAAGACAATACGTGCGAACCAGCATTTGTCCTGGCTGATAAGCTTCTTCCAAGCAAACACTACAAACTGTCGATCCCTCAGCACCTGACGCCACGAAGACACGTCCATAGGGGCAGCCAGGAATGTCTGCCAGCGCTGCAGGTGTTTCAGGCCTGGATGTAATCTGGATGCGCAGCTGACCGATGGGAGTGTTCATGAAATCCCCAAGCTCAGCTGCCACTGCCTGTCTGATATTTCTGTTGCCCAACGCCCTGTGAACGAGATGGACGCCCTGTCCAAGGGGGAATGCCTCGACATCACCTTCCAAGCCAGCGATGGTCTCACTGGCATTGAAGAAAGCCTGCCGCAACCCATTCACAGCAGCATGCGACAAGTCAGCAGGCAAAGGGGAGACAAATACACCTGGCGGAAGTTGCTGGGGCAGGAGGACGCGGGCAGGGCGCATCAAGGCACTAGCCAGCCTCTCCCTGCGCAATCGGCGCCGGTGTGTTTGGGTGCTGCCGGGCTCTGGGGAAGACCGGGGGGGCTGGCTGGGAGGGGTGGGCCGGGAAGCGGGAGGTTGGGGTGGTGGCCTGCGGGGCTGGCTTGTGAAGAGGGTCACGGGTCGGGCATGCCCACGCCCAACGGCTGCACTCGTTCGTCCTTTCCCTTTTCCAACACCTTTTCGGCTGCCCGGGCCCTTGCCGCGGTGCTGGCGGGTGGTGCTCCCTTTGCCGTTGTCACCGCGCGTGTTGCCTTTGTAGTGGGCATGGCCGCCGCCCTTGCCAGTGCCTCTGGATTGTCCTTCAGATCCTCGACCAACACTCTTGCCACCCACGTTGTGGCGAGAAGGGGTTTCAGGAGAGTCTGGGCGTCTGGCTTCACGGGGACGCCGGGGGATGGGAAAGCGTGACCGTGGTCTCGCAGGAGGCACAGGAGGAGAAGCGGCTACACGCCCATGTTCTCCATACTGATGGACAGTGCGCTCGGCCAACTCCAGTGCCAAGTTCAAGGCACGTGTTTGGAACCCATCCATGTTGGTTTGAGCCTGAGGTTGACAAAGTGACATGTGAATGGAATGTTGCGTGTGGTTGTAATAGGCACATCATAGAGCCGGTACCTACCGGACATGCCATTTTGAACGAGACATCAATGACCCTGCACAAAGGCGGGGTTTTCCGCCCCCCCCTTTTTCCCTTTTCCATATGATGATCTCTGAGAATGTCAGTCGAAGCTGGACAAGCGCTTCATGACCTCAGTTGAGAATGATTGGGACCTGAGCAGCAGAGATGGCAGTAGGAAGAAGGTAGTGAAATGTGGGGAAAAAACAGTCCAACAGCAAGACGATGAGCTTGAAGTTTCAAGGAAATGGTATTTAGGTGTGAAACCATGGGTGGAAGGAGTCAGGGCCGGGTTGTAGCAGTGACCCTAGTTGGGAAGTCAATTACTTGTAGGTACCCAATGGCATACAACCCCAAAGGGGAGATAGACTGGATAGAGCGCCTGGAGGCGAAGGGGGCCCCACACAAAAGACATTGCAAAGTTGTGAAAATACGACTCCAAACGAGCCGGGAAAGAAGGAACACACGATGCAGATAATAAAGAAGGCACTATCGCCCTGACGGACTAACCGGGGGGAGGGGGGTGCTCGTCGGAAGAGGAGAATCTTCCTTAGTGCCGCCCCGGGGGTCCACACCCTCCCAAGAAAGCCGGAAAGTAACAAACCCGTCAGGCCCCGGGGTATATATAATATATATATATATATCCCCCATTGTATCCCCATGAGATTCCCATCTCCAAATTCCCCATGGGCGTCGCGTCGCAACGCACCCGGCACCTGCTGGGCGTCGGTTTCCGCCGGACCGCCTGCACCGCCGAGCCCACCGGGGCGCCGCGATGCGGCGAGGCGCGACGGAGGGTGGCCATGGCATGGGCGGTTGGAGGGTGTCACTGCGAAAGGAATTTCAAGATGTACAGTTAACCTCTGTTAACCTCTTTTAACCTCTGTTAACCTCTGTTAACATCACACCAACTATCTCTTGATCATATCTTTATAGATGGATTGTAAAAACATAACACATCTATAGTATCTCTCTCTCTGTGTGTTTGTGTGCGGATGTAACATGCGCCGAAAAACCTTGGCTGTTCTTTCAGTTGGATGATAAGGTGTGGATGTTTACATGTGCATGATGAGTTTGGATTGCTTTTGATGCTGTTTGAAGTCTGTTGTTGTTCCTGATGGTTGTTGATACGGGCTGAAAAGCGATCAAGTCTGAGTGAAACAGCTGCATCATCCCGACAAAAGTTAGGCAGGAAGCGAAAGTGCCGTTGCGGCAAGCCAGGTAAAGATCTAGGCCCCAAGCTAGTGGACCACTAGTTGGAAGTGGACTGCCTCCCTTAACATCGATGCATCCCCCAAGCTGCACGGCCTTGGAATGAACTCAGCACTGTAGGAGTTCCTTACGGCGCGCATCTGAAGTAATGGCAGGAAGAGCGAGATCAATTCTACCAATTATTATTGGAAATCATAATTGTTGTTGGAATTTATTGGAATTTATTGGATATCAGTGATATTGTTGTAGTTGGGCTGTAGCCGTCACTTGTATTTTCGTATATTTTCTTGTGCGGGTGACGCAACAGCTCAAAACTTCCCATGTGCTCTTGGAAAGAAGGGCAGCGTCTGGGATCCCCGCTGTCCTCTCACCTGTGGCATCCCAACCACACAGTGAAGGAAGGCTGTGTCAACAAACCCCCGAGCCCATCAAGAGACTCGGAATCTGCAAGAGGAATTCTCGCCGCACCATGTTCTGGCTCTTGTGATTTGCTCCATTTTCAATGGTCATTTCAGGTACCTAAATTGAAGGTACTGTACCATATAAAGTCTTGTTTGGGTGGTATCTCCCCTAACATACACCTCAGATAGACATTCCGTATGGCTAGATATGCTAGGTATCTCCGATTTAGGTACCTGAAATGGGTAGTAATGCATTTACAGCGGTATGTGTGTCAAAGTTGGGTGCTCAGAAAATTGGGTTCCTACTCAAACTGACAAGCCAAAGCAGGGTTTTAATGAGTTCTCGGCCTGAAATCTTGGTTCAAGCCATGTTTGTCGGCTTTCTACACCCCACGTTCTCCATAGTTCTACACCCTTTTCATCATTTCTTCATTGTGTTCATCCAAAATTTCGATGGATCTCATCCCAGGGTGCCGACCGGTGCCGACCCTGGCCTTGGCTTGTCCCAGGCCTAGTCGCCCATGCCCTCCATGACCCCAGGTGAAGACCTCAGTGGGGAATCCGATGCATCCTACCCTTGGGGCCTTGGGGTTCTCCAAAAAAAGGAATGGGGAAAATCTCTTGAAACAATCTCTTTTTGGGGAAGATGTTTGAATTCTAGGTATTGCCAATTGCGATGTCTTTTTTGGACAATGCCTTCTTGTTCAATGGGAAAACGCATCCGAAAGTAGAGGGTTTGCCCAATCTTTTGGAGGTAAATCATCTTAGACTTTGACGGAAAGGTTGGAGTTAGGAATTCCGGGTAATGGATGCTGAACGGCAAGTAAAATGGATCACATTATTCTATCGGCATTGTTCAATGGACATTCCCCGTCTTTTACAGGTAGATCATCTACATGCACGATGATTTTCCAGCCAGGTTCCGAGTATGACTAAGGTAAACCTTGGGCCAGCCCCAACCTTCGTGATGGTCCAAGTATATCAAGTATAGTCATCAAAATGTTCTGGACCTACTACCGAACTTATTTGACTTGCCCTTATTTCTGGTCGTAAAATCACCCCAAGGATTCTCCCAAGATTCTCATCCTTTAGCCCCTCACTTGGCCCTTGGTGGTCAGGGCCACCGAATGCTTGGTGCCCGCAGCCACCTGAATACAAGAGGATGCATGCCACGGTTAAAGCTCAACACTCAACATATTTTATATAATCATTTTTAATCCATGTTTAATCCCGAGATTTCAAAGGGATCCAAATCGTACAGGGGGAGGTGCACCAGGTGCCGGCCTGGTAGACAAGAGTTTGTCGCCTCGGTGAGGTGTGTTGGTGTGGAAAGCGACACGCGACATGGAACGGGATCTCCCATCTCCAGTGGCTACCTGGGCCCAGGCCTTTGTGCTTCTGCATCCTTAATTCAGCAGCAAATGCGAGCGGTTCTTTTTTGGGTGTGTGGAGTTGTGAGAGTCCTGGTCCAAACAAAATGAGAGTGCCTAAACTTACCGAAATGGAAATGTCCTTCAGGATACTTCATGGGGGGTGATTCAGGGCGACTCTTTATCGTACTCTGTCAGCTCTTCCCAGCATCTTGAAAAGTTTCAGAATGAAGCACTTGTACGATTTCTAGTTTCAATCGTAAGTTCTGAGCAACCTATCATGAATCCGAGACCTGATTTAATGATTTTAATGCCTTCATGGATGGTTTCCCCGTGCTCAACTATTGCGATCTGAACATCGACTGACTCGTCCTCGACAACCCGGCCAACTACACTGGGCTCCCAAGCGTCATCTGGAAACCAAACCTCCGTAGGAGTGAAGCAATCAACCCATGAGCCGATCCCCAGGGCGCCATAGCTGCCTTAGCTGCAGAAACTGTCGGACAAGATGGGCGATATCATGGCGATATCTCTGTGTAGCATACTGCACCCAGATGTTGGGCCAAAATAATCCAAGAATCTCGAGGATTGATTGACATGAAGCTTAACTGCAGAACTTCTTGCAAAATTTGCGTGCATAGCAAGTGCAAGTGCAGGAGGGGCACACCGCCTCCAAACATCTGTGACTTCATGATTGGCACCCAAAATATGGGATTTCACCGGCCACTGATTCCCAAGCATGAATGACCTCCTTCACCCACCATCTCCAGCACATCCTCATTCCACGGCCCTCCACCCCTTTTCCATCAGATCTGGCACTTGGGGATCTTTGTCCCCATTCTCATCCCTATCCAACCTCAACACACCGGCATCATCCCGGCCCAGATGGCTTAAGTCCCTCAACTCTTCAAAGCGCTGCTGCAGCTGCCGTCGTCCCAACTGCCTCAGTTGCGCCTTGTTGCGCAGCAGCAGCGCCAGGGCGCCGGGCCCCGGTGCGCCGCTGCGCAGCCACTCGGCGCGGGCGCGCTGCAGGTCCACGCTGCGCAGCAGTTGCAGGGTGGGCCATGGCGCCTGCGGCAAGGCCATGGGGCACAACCTGCAGTGCGCATGTATGTGTAACCATGTCATGTGTATACATCTATACATACATATATATATATATAACTGTGTGTGTGTGCGTGATTTTACATCTATATGTATATGATATATATATATATATATTGTCTGAGTGTGTGTGATTACGTGTGTGTGTGTGTCATATGTATATATGTCATATGTTTATATGTCATATGTATATATGTCATATGTATATATGTCATATGTATATATGTCAAGTCATGTGTATTATGTTTGTGTGAAGCATTGTGAAACCATATAACACGACACAACGATACTCCTTCACGTGGCCTCCCCAAAAAGAAGGAGGTGCATTTGACCATGGCATTTGAGGAATCTTCATGTTTTTCAAAACTAAAAAAAATCACCATCCTCGAAGCCTCAAGGAAAGGATGGAAAAATCTATGGACTATCTCCCATGAACCCACCATTTCCACTGGCTAACTGGCTATCTGCCCCTTTTTTCAATGGCAGCCATGGCGCTCTCACGGAGAAATGCCCTGCATCCAACGGATTGGCTCGGCACCCTGGACCGCGGTCTTCGCGACAGGGATGGAAGGCCAGCAGGTGCAAGGCATCCTGGACGCTGCGGGGGCTCCCTCCACCGATGGATAGGATTTGATAGGTGTCAATATATGCCAATATGGTATCTTGCACTGATGTTGGATGTTAGATATTGATGATATTAGATATTAGATGTTGAATATGTATAAACATGTAGATCTTGATTGGTATAGATCTAGGAAAAATCACCATGTTGGGTGAAACTGCAGCATCAAATGTCCAATGGCCAATCTGGATATCCTGCAAAGGAATCCTGCAAAGGAATCCTGCAAAGGAATCCTGCAAAGGAATCCTGCTGCACCATCCTCCATTGACAACTATCTTCCCTAAGAAAAAACACCCATTAATCTAGCCAAGGTTATATACCCAGAACCTGGGAAAGGTGGAACTGTAGAACTGGTTTGAGGTCTGCAAAGATGATCATAATCGGTCCTTCTTCACATCCTCGACTTGTCGCCAGAGCTGCGAAAACGTCATCAGCCCAGCTTTCCCGGCAAAATCCTGGAGGGCAGCGGTGCTATGGCATCGAACCACCAGGTTTTCTGATGACTCGGATGGCTTTGGTCCAACCTGGGAGAACCGGGGAACCCCTCACCAGCTCCTCATGCGACAAGACTACCAGACTCGTGGGCCAGGTTGACTCGGCACAGTTCAGCAGCTCCTCACCTTCTGATCCTGAGCTCTCTGGAATGGATTTTGATGAGAAAACAATTTGAGATAGAAATCTATTGGGCATCCCGGCATCCCTGTTGGTGATTTTTCCATTCCCCACTGATAAAAGTTGCACGGTTCTGGTTTTGTAAGATATCTAGACCCTGCCATGGCCCAACCTCAGCCGTGTTTCGCAGAAGTTCCACCAGCTCTCCCATCTGCGCACCACTTTGGCGCCCGTGCTGCAGCCGCAGCGGCCGCGCCCGCAGGGCCCAAGGGCAGAGTTGGGGCGGGCCCTTGGCCACATGGCCCTTGATCCACCGCAGAGTGCTGTGGAGCACCTGCCAGGTCCAAGTGGTTCGATTCCCAAATTGGACCGTGGCCGCTTCCCCAGCACTTGGCGGTTGGACAGTGGATGCGTCAGAGGAAAATGATAAAACTTCTCCAACCCTGGCACCAACTGGCACCCTGGCGAACATCAAAACTTGCAAAATCTGGCAAACGGATGTTTATGCTTCTAAGTGGTTGCAGCACATTAAACAGCTATTTTTTCATCCATCCCCTTGTTGAGTTGCAAAGGTGGGCTGGTGGATCACAGGCATCACCAATCTTCACCAAGGTACTGGATCAGGCTGCGCGAAGCCAGGGCCCTGCGCATGTGGCTCCAGCTGGGGCACACCCAACTGGATGATCGGATCTGATGGGGTAAAATCTGCACTGAAACTGGCAACTGAGCCATGTTCTAAATGTCCTGCATCCTGGCATATCCTGGCACCAAAGAAGGACATGCTTACGCCATTGCTTACGTCTTGCTTACGCGCGCCACAGGTTTTGCTTACGCCACACCCTTACAAGGGGCCCCTTGCTTAACATGAACACAAGTGTCACAATGGTTTAAAACGTGGCTCAACTGAAAATGGCAACAAATCCTACAGCTTTCACGACACTCCAATCTCGGCAGAGCACACGCCCGCCTGGGAGCCAAGGGAAAGGGCCAAGAAAATGGCTGGCCATCGGAGCCGCCGGGCATCCCACGGCATGCGAAATGCAAAAGGCACGGCTTTCCATGTCAAGACATGTCAAGACGATTTTGTTCGCCCTGAGTGCCCTAGTGCTGAAAGATTGGGGAAACAAAGATAGGCAAAGCAAGGACTTTGAAAACAACATTGGAAGAGATTTAAAATATTTTAAAATTAAAAGTTAGAGCAGTCCTCAGCAACACTGCTCAACAGGACTCTGTTTTTGGGCCATCAACAGCTGACACCGCTGGCACCGCTGGCTGCACCGCTGGGACCCTCCGGAGCCTCGGTCTTCCGAGGCCCTGGCCCAAGCCCCAGGCGAACAAACGTCCAACATCCGTGAAGGAAGCACCTCAGAGCCGCCGTGGAAAGGCTTGAGCTCCGAAAAAAGCTGTGATAGAAAGGTTGCTTCAACCAGGCAAGAATATTATGTCATACATATATATATATATGTATGTATGAGTTTTCGGCCCAGTTCTTTCCAGAGAGTGAAACCGAGCGTCAGCAAAAGACTGGGAGATCGTACCTCACAACATGGATTTGCGCGTTTCTGAGCTGCAACCTGGTTCCATCTTTTCGATTGTGGCATGGGTGGAGAACACTGAGCAGGGCATGCTGCTTTGCACTGGAGTTTCCCGCACCAGGTCTTCAGTGTCTCTGGTGCGAATGGAGTTTCTGAGGGTTTGCATACCTTGTATGATGTCGTCAAGGCTGAAGGCAATTGTTGTTCAGTGGGAGCGGGCACTGAGATTCATGCACACCCTCCAAAGGATCCATTTGCGACCATCACTTTGTTGGACTTTTGTAGTGGCATGGGTGGCTTTTCCATAGGATCTAGCATTCTTGGAATCCAAACGGCTGCCTTTGTTGAAAGATCACCATTGGCATGTGATGCATTGAGATCCAACTTTCGCAGTCCAGTACTCCAGGCTGACCTGGGGGATATTAATACCCTCAAGAGAATCCACCCTCTTAAGGGCACAGGCCATGTTCAGGCAACAGGAGGATTCCCATGTCAAGGATTCTCTAGACAGGGTGATCAGTATGGTATGGATGACCACCGAAGTCATAGCCTGTACTACATCTTGCAGAGTTCATGGCTGCTCCAAGTGGACGAGATCTTGCTGGAGTGTGTTGCCAATGTGGTGAATTTTCCCTCAGCGCTGCAATGCATTGACGACTTTGCAGCTCTCGCCAACATGAAGGTGATGAAACTCAACTTTGACCTTCAGGACCAATGGCCAGTTAGGCGCAACAGATTCTGGTGTAGACTCTCTCACAAGGATTTGCCGCACATTGACATTCCACGTTGGCCAGTGACCCATGATTTCCAAACACTTGGAGATATTATGCCACTTGATGCCTTGTGGGATGAACTGGTTGAAAAGCAATTGGAATGGGATCCAAGTGAGTTGGCTTTGTATTTGGATCCAAGTTTTGGCACTGACGAAAGGCTTCTTTGTGCACAGAGCAAGGCTCCAACAGTTTTGCATTCATGGGGCCATGTGAATAGACCATGTCCTTGCGGCTGTAGGGCAGCATTCAACTTGGCTCGACTTCGCAGTGGAGGAGCACGTGGATTTGGCCTTCTCTCCGCCAGAAGTGGTCGCTATCGGCATTTGCATTCTGAGGAGGGGGCCATGTTGTGCACAGTGCCACCATCATTCCATTTTCCTATGCCTCCACGTGCAGCTCTCAGCCTTCTTGGTCAAATTGCGGCGCCTTTGCAAGTTCTTTGGGTGCAATCTCACATCTTGGCCTCTTTGCAACTTCACCACTGGGGATGGACGGACTTGGAACCTCTCCAGGCTATCAAAATCTTGCAGAATGCATTGCGCACCTACTCATTCACCAGATGGATCACTCCCAAGATGTATCAACCACGAGACATTCAACTGCAGTTGGTCAAGGAGGAGGTCACTCATGTGATTCAGATCAACGAGCCTACCACAGTTGGGCAATTGATCCAGGCCGAGAATGCTCTTTGTGGATGGGGCCACTACGTGATCATCACATGTCAGGGCTACCGAATGCATCCAGAGGTTCAACTCCTACCAGGGGTGACATATGAGATCAAGATCTGTGTCAGCAGACAGGTGAAGCCATGTCCCTTTCCAACACCGCTCTTGGGAGGTGGATCAGCACAAAGACACCTTCAATTGGGTGACCGGTGGCTTTGGGACTTCATGCGGGAGATCTCATGTGCTCGTGATGCAGAAGAATTCCCTCAAGAACCATTCCTGCTGCCGCCCTTCCAGATCACCCACTTTCTCAGGCTGGATTTGCCGTCTGCAGTGCAGCAGACCTGGATCCAACGCAGCTCTTGTGGATATGGGCCTATCTTCCTGATCTGTGAACTTCACGGTCATTGGATTCTTCTACATGGACTCTGGAATTGCCAGCATGATGGACTTCATTGGACCCTTTACGATGGACTTCGAATGGGTCAAAGCTGGCCATGGGCATATCACACAGCCCAGAAAATGTCCAAGACATTGCAAGTTGGATTTTCAGGGATGACTCCTGGTGTTGGACTTTGCCAGCGTCATGCCTTTACTTGCGGCTCCATTGCCCTGATCCACATGGCTCAGTTGCTTCATCTGATACATGACGTTTCTGATGACCAGCTCCAAAACATTCACTTTTGGCTGCTTGAGCGACAGCAATGGCACCCAAGTGATCTCTTTGCCGGAGGTGCCGAGAACACTCAGCAACAACTGGCCAAGCTGCTGGCAGAGAAGGGCGTCCCTTTAGCGGCATCTTCAGACAGGGCCAAGATGATCACCGGCAGACTTGGACTTAAACAAGTCCAAGCAATTCTGCAAGCTCGAAATCCCTGGTCTGACCTCAAGTCAGCGGCCAGTAAGCCAGGGTCAATGTTTCGCTTGGTCACACAAGACGAACAGAAGCTTTACATTGCCGAGCGTGCCAAGACCAAACACGGCGCCAAGATTGCCAATCACAAAGCCAAGAAGCAACACAAAGGAGCTCACCCGAGCCAACCAGTCTGTCTTGAACCATCTCAGTTTGACTTGGATGCCCATCACTTCAAGGATGGTGATGATCTGCCTGTTCCGCAGATCCGCTACGAAGAGGTGGAATCTGAAGCTCGAGGAGTAGCCCTATGCACAACAGAGATGGCGCGTCATTTTCTGGACAAACCTGACACCATCAGCACAGACGCCTTGGCACTGCTGCTTCTGGACAAGCCTGATGATGAGGCTGTTCAAAAGGCACAACTTCAGCCTATCATCATCCCAGCCAGATTCAAAGGCACAGATGAGCACACTTTGATCTACGGCCACATCCTTCAGCTGGGAGACAATCATGTCTCACGAGAACTTGCCAGCCAAGACTCCAACCCAGACTTGGTCGAGACCCAGGTGGTGAAGTTTCAGGTCTTTCGAGACCAACTCAATGGAGATTGGACGTCATTTGCTCAGGCCCCCATTCGGGCATTGGTGTCTATGATGGACTCTCTACAACTTTGCAAGGGCTCCAAATGCGGTGCAGCATGTGGCAAATATCATCCTGGGCTTGATGAGACGGTGGAGAATGTCATCTTTGAGATCTGGGCCAGGAGTTTCTTCGACGCCAATGGCCGTAAATCTCCACAAGACCAAGCCAGCCTTTTCACTGTCTTCTTGCGTATTCCTGAAGGTGCCCTGGGCAAGTTGCTCACCAACACCCCGGTTGGAGTGTATGCAGAGCCAAGAGGATCAAAACCTCGAGAGCAAGATGATCGATATCGAGTTGTATGGCTTCCTGGCGCCTCTGCGGAAGAAGCTGCACATCAATGCCGAACCTATGATCGGGCGATCTGTTTGACAAGACTCCGATTCAAATACGGCATTCGAGTCAAGAAGGAAGATGAGCAGGCTGCTTGGTCCCATTTGCGACCGGGCACAGATTTTGTGGCCATGAACTTGCAGCACATCTACGAGCTTTTTCCAGTCCCACATGGAACTCAACGGCATGCCATTGTGAAGCTTCTTTCTGACTGGAAGTGGACTGCCAGACCTTTGCAGCCAGGACGAGGCAATTACCATCACATGTCTTGGCGTGTTGGTTCTCAGGATCCTCCACCCCTACCAGTCATGACAGGTTTCCGGAATGACATAGTCATCACACAGGTGAAGGAATTGAAACAGCCTGAGCATGAACAAACTTTCATTGCTTCTACGAAGACACAGAGACAGATCCGTGCGGCACCGGCACAACCAGTGACTCCACCTGCAATTGCAGACCCATGGCTGGAGAGAAAAGAAGATCCTTGGGCAAGATATGGCACCAAGTCGACACCTTCCTCATCGGCTGATGGCAAATCCAAACTGACTGCCATTCAAGAACAACTGCGGTCTGACATCAGCAATGACATGGCACAAAGTATGCAGACTCAAGCCAAAGAAGCAGTACAAGCGGCAGCAGCATCATTGCAGAGCGGTGCTGGACAACAAGAAACCCGCATCAAAGCACTTGAAGTGGGTCTCAATGAATTGAAAGGCCAAAATGCCCAATTCAGCACATGGTTCCAGCAGGCGGGTGAGAGATTGCAGGCTACAGAGTCTACGATGGGTGCAATGCAGCAAACGCTCAACACTCATCAGAACGAGCTCCATGTCTTGGGAAGCACATTCCAATCCACCATGAAGACAGTCAAAGATGATCTGTCCTCAGAGATGAATGACTCCTTCAACAAGCAGCTCAGCCGCCTTGAGGCGCTGCTTGAGAAGAAGCAGCGTCAAGCTTGACTAGCGCAAACCGGTTCCGAGAATGGATCGACTCGGAAGCCGGGAGGTACAACAAGATCCACTCTCAGTTTTGGATGGATGCTCATGATGTTGATGGTGTTCATTACACCATCCATGGCTCTGCAGCAGCAGCACTCCTTTGCCCGGTTCTTCATCGACAGCTCGGCAGCTTTTGCTGACCGAGGTTTGGGGTCGGGGAGTTGCGGCTGCCGTGTTCCGGAGTCAAACCATTGGTCTTTTATCGGTCATGCCCCATCTTTTGTGTCTTCT